ACAGAACTGATATTACCTGAGAGCAGTGGGAAGTGAGAGAAAGGGTGAGAGTTTAAGGAAGAGTGATGAGTGTTCAATATGTTTAATAAAGAAAGAAAAAAACTGCATTTCTGTGAAAATTTTAAAAGAACTTCCCAGTTTTAAAAAAGTGATTACTCCAATTTTTATTGTACTGAACTTGAACGTATAGATCAGGGGCTGGAGGCAATAGCACAGCGGGCAGGGCGTTTGCCTTGCATGCGGCCGACCCTGGTTCGATTCCCAGTGTCCCATATGGTCTCCTGAGCACCGCCAGGGGTAATTCCTGAGTGTAGAGCCAGGAGTAACTCCTGTGCATCGCTGGTGTTGCCCTCCTCCCCCCCAAAAAAACCAAGATGTCAATACGTTTATTGAAGTCAACCAATAAATTTCCTTTATTAACAACAAGGGGGGGGGGAGGGAAATTCTCACAAATTCGGGAAAGTCACCCATGACTTAAACCAACAAAAACTGCCAGCTAATTAGAAGCCGGAGAGCATTTCCTTAATAAAAAAAAAAAGAATTTATAGATCAATTCAGGGGAGACTGGAAATCTTATAAAATATTTAGTAATCCAATATAAACATATCCATTCTCAATACAGTGATACTAGGTGGTTCCCAATGTAGATATTTAACACATTTTTATATGTGAATATAAAGTCATTAAAAGTTAAAAGTGTTTAATAATTTTGGATTACCATACATATTTTGCTTCATTTATAAATACTGATCTTATATAAAGAGAATATGATTAATATATTGATACTTTATCATGCTATATTTATTCTTTTTAGTATTTCATTGACAGATTCTTTAGATTTTTTTGAGAAAATATATGTTTGCAAATAACAGGCAACTTCTCAATCTGGAGTGTTTTAGGAGGGGAAAAGTTGGGCCATAACTGGCAGTGATCAGGACTCAAGGTGCTCTGTGCTCTGTGATCAGGGCCCTGATTTCCAGGTTCACATCAAACCAAGCAGCATTGTCTTTACATGGTTTTCATCATGAGTATTTGCATAAATATTTAATTTTTGAATTATTATTTTGTTTTATCTTTGGGCCACACCCAGCTGTGCTTGGGGTTTACTCCTGGCTCTGTGCTCAGAAATCACTCCTGGCAGGTGCCGGGAGACCATATGTGGTGCAGGACATCAAACGTGGGTTAGTGGCATTAGAGGTTATGCTGGCTATGCTGCAGGGACCATATAGAGTACTCAGGATTGAGCTGAGTCAACTGCATGTAAGGCAAGCACCTTAATCCCTGTACAACCTTTTAGCCCCAACTAATAATTTTTATCTTGGTTGATTACATTTGGTAAGACCTCTGCAAAAATGCTGGAGGTGGTAGTAGGATGAAAGTAGCACTGTAGCACTGTCCTCCTGTTTTTCATAGATTTGCTCGAACGGGTACCGGTAGCAAGAGCAAATAATCTTGCCTTTGTTGGTAATAAGGACATTTTTTTTCTTGTTAAAAAAGAAATTCCAATTGTCTGAAGGCAGTTCCATGTTTATATGTATATCCAAAAAACACAAAAACACTAATTCCAGCCATACATGAACACCCAGGTGCATTGCAGTACCATTTACAATAGTCAAATCAGGAAACAACCCCAGAGCTCACCAGAAGATGCCTGGATACAGAAGATGAGGGGTATATGCAAATGGAATACTACTCAGCTATAAGGGAAAAATAAATAAATCATGACCTTCACTACAGTGTGGATGGAAATGGAGAGTTAGAGAAGCAGAGGGAAGTTAGAAAGAGAAAGACAAATACTGATGATCTCATTCATTGGAGTAATGCAACAGAACAAAGCAAGGGAACAGGTCCCCAAGAAAACAAACATATTCTGACCACAGAATTGGGGTTACCAAGAAGGGTGGTGTAAGCTGAAGCAGTCCCTAGAGGTGGACTGTTTAGAAAGAATATTGGATAAAAGATAAGGATAAAGGACGTGACGGGGTACATGGTTTTGCAACACTGTACCCTCAAAACATAAATATTTTGACTTCTAAAAATCAATGCCACTTTAATAAAAATGAATTTGTTTCAAACAAGATCAAGTGTACAATTATATAATAGTAACAGCAATTCACCCTGTGTGATTCCTTTCATCAAAATCTGAACGTCTGCTTTTTATTGCTCTCAAGTGTCTACACACATCTTATATACATATCATCATTAGTCTCAGAAAGAGGATTAATCTCTTGCAATCTTCTCCACTATAAATGAAACACCCACTGAATATTAGTGAATTTCAATGTTTGTGTTCTTAATTTCATTATAGACATTCTACTTAAAACCAGAAAGTTCGGTGTTTCCGAAGACTGCTAGATCATTTCTGAGTGCTTCTTTTACTTCATTTTTCTCACCTTTACTTTTAAGAAACATAAAATGGGTTTATTTTATATTTATATCGTATTAACCCAATGAATGAATATATATGTGCCTAGTGATCAGTTCTTTCTGTTTCTGGCACCTTGCTTTTATATTACATTTTCTCCTATAGTCTTAAATTTTATTTACTTTTTTAATGGGAGTTTCTGTTCCTTAGCACTTTATCACCTGCAGTTCTTTGTGTTCTGAGTTAAGAGTACCCTTTGGAAGAAAGTATTTTACACTGCTTCCTGAAAACATGTGCATACTATCAACAAGGATGCAGTTTCATTTTAATTTTTGTTTGAGTGTTTTTCACCTAGAAGACTAGGCAACCAACCCCCATAAAGACAATCCAGTAGCAAAGAATTCTTATAGGAGAATTTTTTTATTCCTCTACCTAGAGCCCAATAATGAGAAAGGCATGTTTTTCTTGCAAATATTCTGTCTTATTTATACACAGGAGTTTTTTTTTTTTCTGTTTTCTCTTTCCCTCGGAGTGAAATCTCTGTGATTTCTGGGACTGTGTAAGTTTCTCTGAGTCAAAGGTTCCACCCTGCACAGTGGCAAAGCTTGACTTCCTGCTCCTACTGAACACAGCAACTAAAATCAAGGTCCCCTGGGATTGCTGGGAGCGAAAATATCTGCTTCAATGTTTAAGGCCCTCTGTATACTGCTCAAACTTGGGTTTCTAGTTCTGGAGAATGAATCCCAGTGCTATCTTAAAAATTCAACCATGCACTTATAACATGGTTTTTTTTTAAAATGTTTGCTTTATCAGCATTTTTAGACAATTTGACATGAGAATATTTCAGGATCGAGATTGATATGTAACTTAGAAGTGGAAGTATTTTTTGTAATTTCTAAAGACTTTGGTTATTATTCTTCATTTACCTAGTTGGTAAGTTAGTTCTATGCATTATAATGGCTAAGAGATGGGGAATTTATAACCGCTATGCCTATAAATGATAATGATATTACGTTATCTTTTTCAAAACAGTTATAAGAAAGGAGGGTTAAATCCATCAAATAATCTACATCCTTTATGATGGTTTTAATTCTAGAAAATTCCCAAGGTTTGACTACTGAATTCTCAGAAAGAAAAGAATTGTGAACAAGAGAAGTGATTGAGGCCTTGTGTTAATAACTCACCAACTCTCATGATTGTTTTTTTATGGGTCAAAGAAAAGTTGAATAGATCAAAACTTTTCTTGGAAGGCAGCCCATTTTAATATGAAGAAGAAGAAAAATAAACCTTTCATTTCACTTCTTTACTCCGGAGCAAAATTTTTTAGCAATTACATACATTAAATTCCTAAGGCATGTTATATAGACTTTAACATGTGTATGATAGAACCATTTTCATTGACTATTAAATCAATTACAAAACATTTAACACAGCAACTATTCCTTAAATGGTAGCTATTATTTTTCTATACAAAAGTTATGATATAAAAAAGTTTAATATCTTTTCAGAAGTTGAAGTTAGAGATGATTTAATGTCCTTGTGGTATTGACACAACAGACTTAAGAAAATTTAGTCTGGTTCTCCATTCTTTTGGGGCTCCCTTCGGAGATTCAGGGAGTCTTAGTTTCCTCCTAATCATAATTGCCATCTCAGTGAAAGCAATTTAGACTGTGTCGTAGCATAATTTTTCTTGAGGTAAACCTACAAGGGGATTCATGTTAAATTTTAGAAGATGGATAACAGGAAAATTTCTGTCCTCAATGTTATCATTTTCAATCCTGGTTGCACTTTAAAATCACATAGCAATGGGGCTGGAGAGATAGCATAGCGGGTAAGGCTTTTGCCTTGCACGCTGCCGACCTGGGTTCAATTCCCAGCATCCCATATGGTCCCCTGAGCACCGCCAGGAGTAATTCCTGAGCGCAGAGCCAGGAGTAACCCCTGAGCATCACCGGGCATGACCAAAAAAGCAAAAAATAAAATAAAATAAAATCATATTAGCAAGATTTAAAGAGAAAATGATCACCATTCATCTGTTATTCTTAAAACCGTATCTAGACAATAGTTATCTTGCAGAAGGATCCAGACTATCTTCTCTGATTACTCCTTAAAACAGTTCATCTTATGTAGCAAAAATCAGCTAAAGCCAGTTTAAATTATTAAACAGAAACATTAATACAATATGATTTTAAAAGCATCCTATTATGGAATGATTTCTTCCATATGGTTACATGTGGTTGGAACATTAAACTTCTGGGCTAAAAATAATGTGCTTGTCACACTGCCCCATGTAACGGTGCCAGTTTCAAAGTCCATACCCCCAAAGTGAAAATAATTGGTATATTAAAGTTACATTTGCATTGGACTGGAGCGATAGTACAGCAGGTAGAGTGTTTGCCTTGCAGGCAGTCAACCCAGGTTTGATTCCCTGCATCCCATATGGTCCCCGAGCACTGCCAGGAGTGATTCCTTAGTGCAAAGCCAGGAGTAACCCCTGAGCATCAATGGGTGTGACCCAAAAAGCAAATAAATAAGTAAATTTAATAAATAAAATAAAATTACATTTGCAAGTATAAAACAACGCTGCATTTGGAAATATCTTGTATCAACCCATAAATTAGAAAATGTGTCTTACCAGTTTTAGATAACCATCAGAATCTAGAATTAAGTTTTCTGGTTTCAGGTCTCTGTAGATAATACCTAGTCGATGCAAGTAATCAAATGCTTCAGTCACACAAGCAACACAGAACTTCGAGGTAGATTCATCAAAGCTGCCCCTGCAATGACACAATTTCCCTCTTAATAGTCTAGACATGCATCTTGGTTGTGTTGACTATTGTCCTGGGTGTACTGGGTGGTGTTGGGTCAAAATCAAGTATTTAGGGCTTATCCTGGGAGCACTCCTGTCAGTGCTCTGAGGCTGGGAATGAAAGCAGGGTCAGTGACCCAAAAGCAAGTGCCTTAATTTCTGCACTATCACTCTTGCCACTTCTAAAACACTTGATAGTGGCAATGGTTTCAAATGCTGACCATAAAGAAATTCTGGACATACTAGACAGAAAGAAGAACTAACTTGAAATTAAATAAAATGTTAATTAAAAAATTCAAACCAAAGGGGCTGGAGCAATAGCACAGCGGGTAGGGTGTTTGCCTTGCACGTGGTCGACCCGGGTTCAATTCCCATCATCCCATATGGTCCCCTGAGCACCACCAGGGATAATTCCTGAGAGCAGAGCCAGGAGTAACCCCTGTGCATTGCCGGGTCTGACCCAAAAAGAAAAAAAAAAGAAAAAGAAAAAAATTCAAACCTTTACATCCAGACCATATATGTACATAAAATTGAAAGATAAAAAAAATAGTTTAAAAAAGACTCTGGAGAAATGCAACTAATTGATGGCTTGACTTAAAAAAAAAAGCTCAATTATTTTCATTTTCTGTTTATATATAACTTGTACCAATAACACATGATAAATGGGTCAGAACTTTTCCCTCTGTGGTACACCCTGATAATATAGCTGACCACTCTCAGCACTATGAGTAGACTGTCATACTGAATTATTCAAATGTGGTGATTATTTACTAAAGGATATAAGGGAAGGGTGTGGCTTTGGAGTAAGAGACTGGTTTTAACTCTTCTACCGAATATTTAGCAAGTGGTTTATCTGATCTGAGCTTCAGATCCCTATCTGTGAAATGAGTTTACCAGTCTTTAAACAGGCTGCTATAAAGACCAAGTAGATGCCTAATACATAGAAACAACTCCTTTTTCTAAATAAATTTAAATTTTTGAAATAGATTTGCTTGCTGAAGGAAAGGAAGAAGATACAAATAGTTCTTCAGATATCATATAGGTCACTTCATTTTTTCAGCTGCTTCTTTTTGATTTTCTATTCAGATGCTTAAATGTCTCTTACTATGAGCTGCAACAATTATGAATTGTTATTCATTATGAATAATGAATGCACATTAGATTTTCCTGTGAGGCATTTAAAAAACCATTTTCTAGTCCCCCATCCCAACAGTGCTAATCACAATTTCTGGCATCAGATTCCAGAATCTTTACTTTGAAAAAAAAATGCCACTGTAAATGTGATGTTGAGTGACACTGGCCAGTCAATACTATCTATAAGTTTGTCCTGGCACTAACTGCCATAATCTGGTGCACACCTACCCTCCCATTTCCCCTCCTCATGCCTTTTTGTTACACAAAATTTCCTATTCATTATTCACAAAGATACAAATCCAATTCCAACTTTATGGCTTTATCTTTCATCAGTTTCCCTTCCTCTCTGCCTTTCCAATTCGGAAACTGAAATCATTTGGGTCTATACCTACACTAACCATGTAACAGAGAATTCGCATCTCCTTCTAAACCCGGAATTCCTTTATCCCTAAAATGGGAACCAACACCTTACAGGATGTAATTATAAGATTAGCCAATAAAGTACTATTGATTTCTTTATTTCACCCAGTAATATTTTTTAAGTCACTTTCTAACAACTTCCTTCATGGCTCTTTAGATGATCATGAATTCAGCATTCTTTAGGTGAGCATCAGACAAAAGTCTTTGTTTGGAATTTTATTTTTATTACCTGTCCCTTAGTATACTCCATAGCTCTCCACCTAAACAGGCCTCCAGAAGCATGTACACATATTTATTGTCCTTGAAAGTACGATATAGTCTGTGAAGATAAAAACACAGCTATTATTAGAAATCCACTTTTAAAAGCTCTTTAGAGTTGTGTAAGAGAATCATCAATACCACTCTAAATGACGGTTCTTATCTCCTTCCAAACACACTACCCTGGGCTTCCTGTTGAATCCTCTTTCATCTGTTTCCTTTCTTTTTGCTTTGCTTGTGTTGACTCCTTTATTTAGACAATCCTCCCTCTAAACCCAGAAAGAACTTCTTAGTCCCAGTTTCACTGTAAAAGTGTTACCCATTTTTAAGAGGCCACCTTCTTGATAAAGCAACTCTTTATTTCTCATACCAAATATAGCCTCTCCTTCCTTCAAAGACTCATGAGACCTGGCGCATATATTTCCTCTACAGGCTGCCTAGCATCCCAGTTATGCATGTTCACTTCTTCTGGCTTCGAGATAACTCATCTGTATTGGTTTCCCCAGATAATAGACCCTGAAATAGAAAGCTGTTAGCAGAAATGTTTACTGAGGAATAATACACTGGAACGACACCTTGAGGAAGAGAAAAAGCTGATTTGGAAAGGAGTAAAGCCGAATTATAATCTAGCTTTGTTGGAAGTATCAGCTCCAGGACCTCTGCTGCCCCATCAAAGGATGCAAGATAGCCCTGGAGCAAAGAGAATCTGCCTACAAGTAATAGTCAGACAGGGACTGAGCTGGACAGAGTGTTTAGATGGTAACACTCCTGGAAGTTGGGAGAGAACTGTGTCAATCTTGATGTGGGACTCAGAGCACCATATTCAACAATAGGCTAATGCAACTTTTCAGTTTTTATTTATTTTTAATTTAATTTTTTTTTGATTTTTGGGTCACACCTGGCAATGTACAGGGATTACTCCTGGCGGTGCTTGGGTGACCATATGGGATCCTGGGAATCAAAATCAGGTTGGCCGCGTGTGAGGCAAACACCTTAACCACTGTACTGTCACTCCGGCCCCACTTCTGGGCTTTTAAAAATCAAGACACTCCCTTTTTTCTCCCTGACCACAGACCCAAGAGCGACAGTAACGATCTAGTTAAGCGGTTCAGTGGAGCCTGGGAACCAAGCAGTCTGAAGTAGGTTGTATCTCATTTAGGTCCTGAGTTAGCTAGCTGACCACACCGCTTTACTGTCCTGGATCATCATAATAGGGCAATAAAGATTTAAGTCATTTATATATGATTATTTCCTGACTGATATTTTATTGATATTTATTGCATATACTCATTCAATATATAAATATGTACCAGTGTATATGAAATGTATACATACAAGTGATGTAAATATAGACATATACATTGAATATCAAAATAAAACCAAAAATCATGATCTATTTATATTTGCAGATAAGGATAACTGGAATATGTTAATTTCTCAATAAATGCTATCATTAATATTTATCCATCTTACTATTTCCCGGCAAGCTACCAAGAGTATCTCGCCCACATGGCAGAGCCTGGCAAGCTCCCTGTGATGTATTCGATATGCCAAACACAGTAACAAGTGTCACAATGGAGATGTCACTGGATCCACTCAAACAAATCGATGAACAATGGGAGGACAGTGACAGTGACATTATTTCCCTACTACGTGTCAAGCACTTTACAAAGAGGAAATGAGTAAATGCTAAGTGAGCAAAATGCCCTACACCATCCATCCGTTAATGAGCTCTAAGGGAACACATGGTGGGGCTGAGAGAGTTTCCAGCAGGTCAGGTGCCTGTTTGCCACTCCGGGGTTCCCTCCCTGTACACCAGATGGTGCCCTGGGCCCTGCCAGGAGGGATCGCCAGGAACCACCGGAGGTGGCCCACAGGCAAAACAGAAAATAGGAACACATTATGAGAGCATCATTAATATAAAGATGTTGGGTGCCTTTCTATTACTAACTTTGGTTAGCTGCACCTTCGTGCAGGTGGGCCCACGCTGCAATGGTTGGTAGACCATTCATTGTCAGGGACTAAACTTAGGACCTCAGCACAAAAAGATGCTCGGAGTTCACTGAGGGGACTCTCTGGTCTCCAAACTTAATTTTTCTAATCTTCAAAAAAGTGTAATGGGACTAGGAATATGGGCGGGCAACAGTAGTCACTTCAAGTATTTATTTTTTTAAAGTACATATTCATCATCAGGGTACTTTAAAATCATCCTGAAATCACTAAAGCAACAAAGCATAAGTGGAAAAAAGTATAAGTATATGGCTTATACCACTAGTCCATGACTTCACAGGTGAATCCAGTATCTGGAAAGACATATTTTTCTTCCAAACTTTGGTGACAGCTACAAATAGAACAATAACTATTGTATGATGGTCTTTTGGCATCTAATAGCTTCTACCACCACTCTCTATTATCCTTTGACAACATACTTGTGTCCAAATGACATTTCTTCCAGAAATACAATAATAGCGTGCCCCCAAGGGGTTTCAAATACATTCTTGCTTCCTAAATTCTGAATCTGCTCTGCATTAGATGACCAATTCAAGCTATCTCACTGTACTTAAACACACACACACACACACACACACACACATGCACATGCACATGCACACACTCACATACACACAACCACACACACACAACTTTCCTGAGGTTTACTCAAAAACAAAATAATCTGGATTCTTGACCCAAAGCTTCAAACTTCTTTCCTGTTCTGCATAGTTGCCCTGATGTGGATGCCAAATTCAGAGGACAGTTTTCTCTTCCTCTCTGATCTCCTAAGTGGAAACACTCTCAAGAAAACTCTAAACTCCTGCGTCCTAGGTGTCAGCTGCTCACTTACTTCACAATAAAGGGAGAACACAGCTCTTCCAAGATCCTCTTTTCCGAGTAGACATGCTCCTGTTGTTTCGTGTCAACAATGTGCTTCTTCCTTATGCATTTCATAGCGAAAGCAACATTCTCATTTTTCACTTTAACCTATGTAAGAGAACGAACCCTCAAAATTAATCTACAAAAAGATTGGCAAAAGTCATACAAAATCTGTTAACTAGTGAGAGTAAATATTACAGAAATAGCATGTAAGCTTTTATCCATTAGTTCCTTTGAGAACTAAGTTTCATTCAGATACACACTTCCCTTTCATTGCAATTTCAAAAATAGTTCCCATAACTGGGGCAAAGCCACAAAGTTTTTGCATTGGAAACAAGAAAAAAATCATCTCTGGAAAGATGATTGAATATTTAGAAATCTTTTTCATTTTGAGTGTGTGACATAAAAAGCTCTGCCCCAGATTACCAAAAGTTCCTTTTATTAAATACTTATTCCTTTGATAAAGGAAAACATACTAAAGCAGAATCTATTATATACATTATCTAATATGCAGCCACTAGTTCTATGAGGTCATCTAATTTTTTTTATTTGTTTTGTTTGGGGACCCACACTTGTCTGTACTCAGGGCTTACTCCAGGTTCTTTGCCCAAGGCTCACTCCTGGCAGTGCTCAGGGGACCACATGTAGTGCTGAGGAAAGAGACATTGGTCAGCAGTTGCAAGGCAAGTGCCTGATCTGCTCTACTACCTGTCCTGTGTGGTTTTCTCAGTTTTAGATAACTAAATGAAAAAGGTTCAGTTTAACTAGTCAAATTGTTCTAGTTCAGATGTACTAGGAACAATTCAAAAGCTCACCAGCTGTACATAACTAATAGCTTCTGTACTGGACATTGAAAATGATGAATATATTTTAGAGTACAGATATTTTTTGAGACTACTGCCCTAGATTGACAAACAGAATTTTCCCTTAAGAGGAAAGAAAGTCATTTCAGTAGGTATTTATCTAGACAAGCTTAAACTTCCATCACTGTCACTGTCACTGTCTTCCCATTGTTCATCGATTTGCTCAAGCGGGCCCAGTAACGTCTCAATTGTGAGACTTGGTTGTTACTGTGTTTGGCATATCGAATACGTCAGGGGTAGCTTGCCAGGCTTTGCTGTGAGGGCTCAATATCCTTGGTAGCTTGCTGGGCTCTCTGAGAGGGGCGGAGGAATCGAACTCGGATGGGCCATGTTGGCTATGTGCAAGGCAAACGCCCTACCCACTGTGCTATTGCTTCAGCCCTAAACTTCCATAATAAGACGATATCTGATGCACAACAAAACTATACAGAAACTGTTTCCCATATTTCATACAGTTTTGTCATTGGTTTGGTACATGACTTTTTAAATTAATGGTGGGATTACTGTTTGAATTACTGTTAGCTAACTACAGAAAAAAAAGAGATGCCAGCATTGTTCATTCCAATATTTGACAAGTTCTTTGGTGAAAAATACCACAGTAGATGGAAACTGTCCCTGTTTATGCAAGTGACATAATAAACATTCACAGGGATCAGGGATCACAGTCCTCCCGTTGTTCATCGATTTGCTCGAGCGAGCCCAGTAACGTCTCCATCATGAGACTTGTTGTTACTGTGTTTGGCATACCGAATACATCACGGGTAGCTTGCCAGGCTAAACATTATAGATATTATTTCCCCTTTCAAAAATCACTCCCCCCTCTTCTACTGGAGACAAAATACTGTGTGTGAAGACACACATCTTGTTTCCTTGAAGAATTTCAGATTAAAGAAAGGTATTAATGTTCAAAAAATCTTCTAAACTCAGGCTGTGATGGCTGGTTTTAGTCTAGCACCTGGTAAAGGTGCTAGACTAAAAAAATCTTTAAAAAATTTTTGGGCAAAAATACAAAGATAAGCCCAAGGCTGCCATGGGTTCAGAGCCATCTGTACCCAGATTTCCATTCTACAGCTTCACATTCAGAATACTTAATGTGAGTACCAATCAACACTACAAAAGGCTGCTTTTCAAATAACTTCTTGTGCTCAACTTTTCTTTTCTTTCAACTAGAAATTTCTGAACAACCCCCAAATAGATCAATTAAAGCTAAATACACACAAGGGAATGGATTGATTAAAAGATGTTCACTCTAAGATATTAATAGAATTCATCTCTATGAAACGCCTACTGGACACAGTCTAATTGTTTGTTTATGTGTTGGGACCATACCCAGCCATACTCATGGGTTACTCTTGGCTCTTGGAGGTGCTTGGAGGACCATATGGGATGCCGGAGATGAAACCCAGGTAGGAGACCACATGCAAGGCATATGCCCTACCTGCTGTTCTATCTCTCCAGCACCTAATATTTTTTAGCATATAAAGAGCCTATCAATTCTCTAATTTTGCTATTAAGGGAAAAAATTCTATCAGTGAATGTGAATAAAAGAGGCGTGGAATAACAACTATAGTTTTACAACTTCTCATCAGAGGTTTGCTCCTAGTCAACATACAGAGTAAAAAGCACACATTTTTCAATTTCAGTTCAAAGCATGCAAGAAAGCATAACAACTCATCTATTCTGCCAAGATAAACTAAAATCTAAAGCAAACAAATAAACAAAAAAAAAAAAAGGTCATAAGGCTTCTCTCAGATGCTTGAAACGTAAACCCCTTACAAGCTCAACTCTTCCGAACCCACCAACGCCCAGTGTTGCGATAATCTCAAGGTTCTGGAATGGGGATGATGAGGAAAATCTGGCCACTTTCTCCTTCAGCTGTATCATTTCCAGAGAGAGTGCTTTTGACAACTTCCAGTTAGACATGGATCTCCTGCACAAAAGAAGTGAAACTTCACATACATGCTCCCTCAAGTGGGGATTATGCCATCAATTCCACCCCTGTCTTTATTCTGTCAGTAATTACTGCTCTCATGTTTCCACAAAGTCGTTCTCAAATCAACCGCATGGGGAAGGGAGGTCAATAAAATCTGTAAACAAAAGGCTGACAAACTCACAAAATTAGCAGAGGACAAATGTCTCTGCTAAAAATAAGATAACCAGGTGACCTGTGTGGCATTTAAAACATACCGCAATAAAGCTGTCAAAGTTAAGTGTCAATTAAAAGATACCTCAATAAAGCTGTTAAAGTTAAGTGTCAATGACTAAATGTAAAGCTGTTTACCTTGCTGTGCCATATACAAGAAATTGCTGCACTGAGAATCTTTCTGTGTTTTGCTATTTCTGTCATGTCTTGAAGCTTCCCATGGATAAACCAGAACAACAGTTTTGTAGAACAAAATTACATTATCTGCGTTAGAGATAATATTATTATTGGACAATAAAAAATAAGTAAGGGTGTTCCTTTTTGGTTTGCAGATTTGGTTACTCAGGAACTCTCACAAGTAGAGTTCAAGTGCCCGGAGGCCATTCAGGGCGATTCTTGAACAACCTGGACACAGTTCAATGCTCAGGCCTATGGTGCCGGATTATCCATTTTACCCCAGTGGTGTACTGGGGAATACTCAGGTACTAAGACCACGGTCAGCCGCACACAATGCATGTGCTTTAACTCCTGAATCTCCTGGAAATATTTTTTTCCTTTCAATTAGGACTTACTTCTCTAAGTTATGTATTCATGAACTAATATTAAATGCATTTGGTATAAAATTTTGAATATATTTCTTGCAAAAACTCCTTAAAGTTCTTGATTAAATGCTCTATTTTGGCTCTTCAGTTTCCTAGAAGTTTCCATTACCTTGATGGTAATATTTGGTGAATATATGTTTAAATATACTCTAAAATTGTTTAATCAAAACAATTTTTATACCAGGCATTTACTTTTATTTACATATAAGCTTACTATTCTTAACTACTTAATACTTTCCTAGCATGTTGTCTTCTCTTTCTGGTATCATTTTTTTTCTTCCTAAATTATATCTTCCAGCTCAGACATTCATTTTATGAATGTTCAATACAATTTTTTAATCATTGTAATTTTAAAATGTAGACTTTTCAGGTCTGAGCAATAATATAGTGGGTGGGACACTTGCCTTGCACATAGCCCACCTGGTTTGATCTCTGATAACACATATGGTTCCCCCAAGCCCACCAGGAGGGACCACTGACCATAAAGCCAGGAGTAAACCCTGAGCAAAGGACTTAGATTGCCAAAAATAAAAAAAAGTAGAACTTTACATTAAATAAAATGTCTCATTGGCATATTGCAATTAGAGACCTACCCAATTTCTTCCTACCTCACACTGGTCCACAACTGGGAATTTGTTTCCTTAGAATCTACCTTGAACTAACTATATTGATACCCCAACGTATGTATCGAGAATAAATGATCTACTTTAGTCTCTTAGCAATCTTGTTTTATTTCCTTGGAAAGGTAAACAAAAGGCTTATTTCTCAAATTAATTAATATTATTTTGAACAAACTGGCAGGCTACCAAATGTAACCTGCCCACATGGCAGAGTCTGGCAAACTCTCTGTGGCGTACCCAATATGCCAAATACCAGTAACAATGATGGGTCTCATTCTCCTAACTCTGAAAGAGCATTGAATATGGCACTTTTTTAAAAAGTCTCAGGGCTAGGACGAAGGAGACGTTACTGGGGTCTGCTCGAGGCAATCAACGAATAACAGGATGGTTGTGATTGTGATTGTGATTGATTTTGAACAAAATCACCAAAAATATATAAATAATTCCTTTCCCAAGGTTCCCAATCAGGATATTTCTTCCTGATATTTCTACTTATAATCTAAAGATTTGCTCGAGCGGGCCCAGTAACGTCTCCATTGGAGATTTTGTTGTTACTGTGTTTGGCATATCGAATACATCACGGGTGGCTTGCCGGGCTCTGCTGAGTGGGCGAGATACTCTCGGTAGCTTGCCGGGCTCTCCGAGAGGGGTGGAGGAATCGAACTCGGGTCAGCCATGTTGGCTGCGTGCAAGGCAAACGCCCTACTGCTGTGCTATCACTCCAGCCCTAAAGAAAGGAGCCAAAAGCTTATAGTCCAAACCAATACCTATTATAATAGTAAATGATATCTTTGTGTGCGTGTGTAAAATAATTAGAAGGAATTCCCCTCAATTTGTAGTGTAGGCAAGTCAAATGTTATTACACAATGACTCACACCCTTTGGATCACAAGTTCATTGGATGCAGGAATCAGATCCTGCTTAAGAAAAGATTCCCCTACTTACTTTGCATGTCTTTTTTCATCATCTCGGTTTAGGTTTGCCACATACCCTTCCAGATATTTCTGTAGTTCTTCAAAAGTCCCAACCGTTTGGTTGAATGTTCTAAATAAATAAAATACAATTAAAAATATCTTCCAATAGTTATCATTGAAAACTTTATATCATTTTTAAGCTCATAAAAGACTCCTTCTATGGTTATGCACAGTTGTGTGAATTGTTCTTTAATGATTTATTATGTTAAAGTTTCCATAATTTGGAGCATAATTATTAGAAGATATATAGTTGATCCTTTGAGGTTATGAAATCAAAGAGGTTGTAATCATGAGGGTCTTTACTTGTTTCACGGTATTGAAGAGGTATCAATAGTAAATATGTTGAGATTATCAGAAACATCTTAGGAACTCTAGGATATAAATCAACCTGCTTCTTCAGATATTCAGCTTCTCTCAATGATAGGAAATATTCATGGAAATGTTTAGATATCATGGTGTCTATCACATTACATTGAATATTATAGAATCTTAACTTTACATCTTAATATTTTTAACTTTAAAAATATTAGAATATGCTTTCAAAGATTTGTAAACTATATAAAATCATGTATCATCTTTGTAGATTATGAGTATATGAGATACTATATATTTGATTTGACTACAGTGAGAAAAAGAGGAATACTGCTTTACTTTGTTTCATTAGTCCTATTGTTCTGGAACAACTTAGATGGTACTACAGCATTAATGCAATTCTGGGCATGAATGTTTTTAGGGAACTCATAAAGAAAACAATGAATCATTGGATAACACCTTGCCAACCTATTTCCATTTGAGAGTTGGCATCTAAAAATGACCTTTATCTTAACATACTTTGCATTTTTCTAGCCCTGTGCTTTTGAAGTTCTACTTCACTTCCACTGACTTCTTTACTAATCCCAACTTCTGCATTTTCTCTTTGCCTAGGAAAAAACTCTTGACTTTAAGCATCATTCCCATACTTATAAAAAAGTGTGCCACTTTGCTGCACTGTGGATTGCTCTTTCTGAAAAGCTACTATGGGAGGCAAAGGGCGAAAAGAACATCTAAAGGAGTTGGCGGAACTGGGTGGGATCCCTTCTCTAGCATAGACGTCAGTGTTGAACAATCATTTTGCATTATTCTTTGAAGTCAAAGCAGCACTGGTTTAAACATTATATGGGTTTCAGGTGCACAGTCCTTTAAGTCAACTTCTGTATAAGTCAATTACCCTATGTTGGTCACCAAAATTCTAGTTTCCATCCATCATCACAGAGTTGACCCCTTTCTGTAATCATTCTTTTGTTCTTAGAGTAAAGCCATTTGTTCTAATTTTGTTTTGATCGGGCTGGAGAGATAACACAGCGGTAGGGCATTTGCCTTGTGTGCAGCCAGCTTGGCCGAGGCAGGTTCTATTCCTCTGCCCCTCTCAGAGAGCCCAGCACCAGTATCTCACCCACACGGCAAAGCTTGGCAAGCTACCTGAGTGTGTTCAACATGCCAAAACACAGTAACAACAAGTCTCAAAATGGAGACATTACTGGGCCCGTTGGAGCAAATCGATGAACAACGGGAGGACAGTGCTACAGTACTTTGTTTTGATCATTTGCCTTTTGTTTCTGGGTCTACTACATACAATGATATGATACAGTCTTTCTTTTTCTCCTTCTGATTTATTTTATTAAACACAGTACAGGGCAATTCACCCAGTGTTTTTCAACTGCTGGTCTGTTAGACAGTACACAGACCCTCACCAGGTTGCAGATGTAAAGAAAAGGGCTGAAAACCACTATGTGCACCTCCATCTACAAGGAGTAGCATTGAAATAATGAAAACTTATTATTCAGAATGAAGAAAATAGCTGTAGGCTTGAAATTTGTTAAAATTAGTGTGGAGAAGGTGAAGTGGTAAAATGGCACAGATAGCACTGAACTGATCATTGTTGAATGTGTATTATGTGTATTATGACGTAAACATTATCTTGCTTATTTTAAATATGTTTGCAATTCTATAATAAAGTTTTTAAAAATTTTAACAGTAATTTTTCCAACTCTGTATCTCTATGAATCTATGTTAAATGGATATTTTATCCAATTAGTAGTCTACTGCATAATTTATTTTCATATTTCTTGTCACCACTGGTCTTGTTAATTCTATTCATGAGCATTCTCTATTTCTTAATTGCATTATAATCTTCAGACAAGGATTTAGCTTTGGAGAATTTGACTTTTATCTACCATATCTAGCTAATTAATAAGCACTCGAATATTAATAAAGGATCTAAGGATCCAGACTCAAACGTGATTTGAAGTGAATTGAAGACCCAGACAAGATATTCTGAAAAATCATCTGATGCCTATATGTAAATATGATACACATCATTTAAAAATGACGACAATTTTTTGTCGTTGTTTTTGAGCTACACACAGAAGTGCTTTGGGCTCTGTATTTATGGATCATTCCTGTCAGGCTCAGGAGACCTCATGGAGTATTGGGGATTGAACCCAGGTTAGCTGCATGCGAGGCAAGCTAACCCGACACACTGTACTGTTGCCTCAGCCTTAAAATGACCACAATTTAAAAAGCTAATGGGTACTTTGTATTTTATCTGAAGAGACAGGTTTTGTTGTGAATTATTTTGATAGTTGAGAGTATTTTTGGAACTAAATTATGAAACTGCTCATTGTGCTGTGTGGGGGAAATAATCCAGGAGCATGTATAAGCTTATTGCTCTGGAAGATGCAGAATTCAAATAAGCCCACTGCTGATATTTATGTACAAACTTTGCACACAAAATATTTAGCCTGCCGGCATCTGCCACTGCCACAGTTAGATTCAGATCAGAAGCCCCAGTTCTTTCCCATGAATTTTAATAGAATGTTCTCTCAGCTGACGATTGGCCAGCATTTCCAAGAGCTGATGAATGAGAAGACAGATGGCCCTTGGAGTAACAGAAGGTCAAGTGTTCAAAGGTGGCAGGAGTCTGGCTCCCTGACATCAGGGTACTCACTCTCGATCTATCACCAGGCAGGCGACATCATTTTCTTCAGCAATAATGTTAGCTGATCGAACATCTTCACTGCAGACAACAAAAAGGAAAATCTATTTTTTAGACGAAGACATTAAGCATCCATTTTTAAAAATTTATTGTTTCTTTGTATGAAACACCTTAAGATTATCATTAAAATATTATTAGCTTTTGGGACAAATATGGTGGTCCTCTGGGCTTCCTCTTGGCTCTATAATCAGGGATCACTCCTCTTAATGCTTGGAGAACCATACAGGTTGCTGAGAATTGAACCCAGGTTGGCTATGTGCAAGGCAAATGCCCTGCCTGCTATAGTATTGTTCCAACCCCTAATATTATGTGTACTATATCCCTGTCCCCAAAATATAAGGGGTAGGACTTGAAAGATGTCCCAATGAAGGCTACGGACATAGAAACTCAGAAAGGATAGTTGCATTAGAACACAAAGGAGTCGGTGACTGCATCTGCGTAAAGAAAATTCTTCTGAGCTTTGTGTCAGCCTAAAAAAAATAGTCCCCCTCAGATACAACAGGAATTGTGAATAAGCAGGAAAAACTAAAATTAACTGAAGAAATGGTAAACTTTAAGTAACTGACATATAACAAGCCAATCGTGAATTAAACCCAGTGTCAAAGCACCTAAAGAATTCAATACTAAAGTACTCCTTTTTAAAAAAAATAAGATTTAAGGTGTCCATTTAAAATCTCCCAAATCAGAGCTTGTCTTGCAGTAAAGCATGAGTCCCATTGCAACTGACACATAGTTTTCTTTCATACAGATATATAATAGTTATATATAATATATAATATATCACTGTATCACTGTATCACTGTCATCCCGTTGTTCATCGATGTACTCGAGCGGGCACTAGTAACATCTCCATTTGTCCCAGCCCTGAGATTTTAGCAGCCTCTCCTTACTTGTCTTTCCCAATGTATTGAAGGTTCTTTCAGGGTCAGGATTAGGGGAATGAGACCCATTATTGTTACTGTTTTTGGCATATCGAATACGCCACGGCTAATTTGCCAGGCTCTGCCTAGCTGGTGGGATACTCTCATATATATATATATATATATATATATAAATATATATATATATATAAAATTTGTTGCCTACAGTCTTAACCCATCAAATATGGTGTGGTAATTATGGAAAATGGGTAGGAAATGTCTTATGATGCGTCACGCGACCGCAAAAGCGGTCGCTCGGTCTATAATTATGTTCACTCATGTGTGAGTCTCGCCTCAAGTGTGTGGAAGGCGGCCTGGAGCTTGGCGGTGGTTGGGTAGTGGAGGTCGGCTGTCGGGGTGGGGTCCCTTGGGGCGGGGAGGGTTCTCACTCACCCCCCTTTGTGGCACCCCGAGTGAAAACAGCCTGGCTTGGAGTCTGGTGGCATGGTTATGGGGGCATCATTTTATGTTCCCCTCTGGGAGAAGCAGCCACGAGTTCTGGAGGGTGGCCGATGAGATTTTCTGGCACTGGCTGGGGGTGGCTTATGGGTGTGACCCCTGGGTCATATTATATACCATATAAATATCTTATAACTTGTATTTTAAATTTACTGATCAAATGCATATGATCAAACAATGGTGAATTTAATTGCCTAATGAATATTACTTAACAGGTCAAGTATCAGGGTTAATTTTTCTTTTCTCCTCCCTGCATTGGCTTCTTAATCCCTTCACATTCCAGTTCCCACTTCCTCAGCTCACCACAGTTCACCTCAGTTCACCTCAGCGGACCACTTCCTCAGTTCACCACTCAGTTCACCTGCTTCATCATTTGGAAAATGAAAGATAGTGAAAGGAATGGGCTGGAGCGATAGCACTGTGGGTAGGGCGTTTGCCCTGCATGCGGCCGACCCAGGTTCGATTCCTCCTCCCCTCTCAGAGAGCCCGGCAAGCCACCGAGAGTATCTCGCCCGCACTGCTAAGCCTGGCAAGCTACCCATGACGTATTCGAAATGCCAGAAACAGTAACAAGAAATCTCACAATTTGTTGTGAGATGTTACTGGTGCCTGCTCGAGCAAATCGATGAATAACAGGAGGATAGTGCATTGGCTATAAACCTAAGACACTGACAGAAAGGCTTCTATTCCTATAGCCCCTAGTGCTCTGAGCTTTTGTGCTGGGTAACTTGGAGTAGCACATAATACTGAGACTATTCTAAGTGACTTCGTCAAAAATGGCATCACACAACACATATTTCTTCATCTTCTCCTAGTGATGGGATGGAAGAAATTTCCACAACCGAAGTTCCCTGTCCACACAGTATCCAGAAACCTCCACAATAATCCACCACCCCTCCCATTTACAGCATCATCAGTGGAATCATATCAGCTCCGTGGACACCTGACTTGCAATTTTGGTAGTCTGGACTCAACCTGAATATCTGCAGATATCTAAAGACATAAAGGTAATTAAATAAAGATATTATATACATATATTTGTGATCTTGAATTCAGGCTACCTTTTGTGAGTCCAAAGAAGTCTGACTGGAATTTCATATGTGAAGCTTTGGAATTAATTCCCACGTACACAATTCCCCCACACATAAAACCAAACAAGTGAAAACCAAAGGAAACAAGTCTAGCATTCCGTTCATTTCTCTGGACAGTCTCTACAAGCACTTTATATGTATAAGAGGCTTATAAATACAGAGATGTCTTGTTCATAGTCACTGTGTCATAGACTTATTTGTGCACATAAAATTATGAAAGAACTCCTGGGACTATTTAGTGTTGAGTTATGGAACTATATAGAATACAAGGAATATAGAGTTACAGTGGTCTTAAAAAGCGAAGGCATAAAAATGAAGAAAATGAAAAATATTTGTGTCCAACTCCCTTTCAAAGTGGTTTTTGAGCTTCCATGCATAGGCCAGGGAGATAGCTCAAATGGTCTAGTACATGCCAAGCTTTATATTTTCAAATGCATTACGGAGCCAGGTGTCTTGTTAAATGTAAATTGTTGATGTCTCATGAGAAAACACTCTAATCATCTAGCTGTAATGTAACAGCAAAAATTATTCTAGATCCAGCAAAACCAGAGAGCATGTTTCCTTTCAGGAACTATGACTCTTAGTGCAATTATAAAGTTCCCTGAACTTTCAAACTTCAATTGTTTTGTTAGAGCTATGAGAAAATAATCTGTAAATGTTAACAATAAATATATCAAAAACATGAATACTAACTTTACATATTTATGACATTAGATCACACTCACGTAATCTATTCTGTCACAAGTAAACAAATAAAAGGAGGTGATTTTCTTATTTTCTGGTTAGAAATGAATTGAGAGTTCATTAACAGCCAGTAAAAAGGAAAGAAAAATCAACTTGTCTTTAATTCAATTTTTAAATTTTTACCAATATCCACAATTAAGTTTAGATTTTCTTTTCAAAAAAGAGCTTTATGAATACTAAATAATCAAAATTGTCTTCAAATAATTTCTTAAGTTTTTCTTGATCCTTATTCATATAATCCTAACATGCTAATAAGAAAAACCAGTAGCTCTAGATATAATTTGAGAGGCAAATACTGCTTTTATGAGTATAAATTTAAAATAAAAACAATTAGTTATGATATATATTTTTAATTAATTTCAAGATCATTTCAAAGCATATAAAACTTCAAGAAGTGTGCTGGCCAAAACTTTAACTCTAGCTTTAATAAAGTTATTTATTTTTCAGAAATAGAAATTTATTTTCTGAGGTTGTTTTTTGAGGTCCAGGAAGCACAAACTTTCTCCTGAGTCATTTAATTAACCTTTATAAATATTTCTTCCATCAGTTAGATCAAGAGTAAATAAGCCCTTGGACCAAAAGACCAAGAGTTAAGGTAGTTATTTCAAATTAACTATTTTAAGTCACTTCCAAAAATTGCAGAATGAGTTGATAAAAATCCCTAAGAAAATATTTTATTTAGCATGATTTAAAACTACACAAAATGTGTAAAATAAATATCTGACCACTTCTAATCTATAAACAGGATTATATTTTAAACCTTGAAAATAGAAAAATTCATTTTGGGGGAAAAGTTACAATTTCACTTTCTTAATATCTTTTAAAATATACTAATAAAATACCAATTATATTTTTACTAGCAAGTCTTTGCAAGCTTCCCAATTTGTTTACCCTAAAATTTTAGTGTACTGAATTTCTCCACAACAATGATTTTTTAAATAGAGTTCAATTTTTTAAATTCCTAAATACTGGCAAATATGAATTTGGTAGTACAATTTGACAACTCTGAGTAGCTACATACACAGAATAATCAAAGATTCAAACACAGTGTATAAATATACAGATTCACCTGATAAGAGCTTTTTCTCCAAAGTATTCCCCCTTCTGCAATGTTTTTATTAGTTGTGGCTGCTCATGGCCTTCTGTACTTTGGGTGACTTTTACCTAAAGGACACCAAGAGAAAGACAAAAAACAGGAGAATCTGAACACATAATCATTCGATCAAACCCTTTACATCTATATAAACCTGACCAAAGAAGGAAAAAGAAAAGCTTTTGTTTTAGTTTTTCAAGATGTGGATCCAATTACTCTTTTCAAGGCATTACTCAAAACAAGCTACCTGTGACGTATTCGATATGCCAAACACAGTAACAAGTCTCACAATGTTACTGGACCCGCTCGAGCAAATCGATGAACAACAGGAGGGCAGTGCAGTGTAGTGCAGTGCAGTGCAGTACTCAAAACAAAGTGGTACCAATATTCAAAAAGAGGTGACAAATTAACAGCGATAAGGTTGAGTGTTAGGCATTCTAAGTCTGGCTTCTACAGATTAACTCACTTAATTCTCTAACCATAAATTTAAAGTTAGGAAGGGTTCATAGTTTCTATGGGTGTTTGACTGTGACTGTCATCTCAGGACTTTTAAGAACCTCATGAATGAGACCACAAAATGTCAAGGTTTCTTACATGTGACCTATATGACTCCAGTTCACATAGGAATAAGGGTTGCTTTATGATGATTAGGAATTCTAATTGACAATTAACAATTAACATTTAAATAATAAATGCAATTTACTATTAGCCAAAATTATTTTAAAGCATGGGATCCAGGTTGGAGAGAGAATAAAATGTGAGTCTAAGTATTGAAGACTTTCTGAGGTTTGAAATTATTTTTATTAATTTCACCCCCTCACTTAGGGCTTCATTCAAATAGGTCACAATCAAGTTTGCAGAGGATAGTGCTTGATTCTATGATAAACTCTTCCATGACAGTAATAACATGTAAAATTTAACAATGTGTAGGCACAAATGCTCAAGATTTTACACTTTCAACATTTTACAAAAGCTTTTAATATCTGAGAAATAGTATTGAGAATCATGAAAGAAGTGAGTGACTGACAAGTTATCCACCCAATATCCAGGTTAAACACTATATACATTTCAAGGTACATTGAGTGTACATAAATCAGTGTAAAGTATACACATTAGCATAACATAAATGTATATATTATTATATTTTAATCAGCATCAACCAACTTGACCTCTTGTGTAAACCGTATATACTAAGGTTTTGAGACATATTTACTAAAGTTTTACATTTGACTATTACTCTCTCCAACTGCCAGAAACATTTTCCTCCACTGCTACTTTTCTTATGTGTTGGGCAGGAAAATTGTTCCAACTCTGAAATCTGGATACTTGGAATGACTGATACTCACATATTCAATAGCTAGAAAAGACTTTAGAAATAATCCAGTCATTTCATATATAATAAAACTAAGACCAAAAAAAAAATACTGGGTCCAAGCGATAGTGCAGTGGGGAGGGCATTTGTCTTATGTGCACACAGTCCAGGTTCGGTCCTCAGCATCCTATATGGTCCACAAGTATCACCAGGAATAAATACTGAGCGCATGAGTGCAGAGTCAGAAATGACCCCTGACATCACTTGGTCTGGTCCCAAAAAGGAGGGAAGGAAGGAAGGAAGGAAGGAAGGAAGGAAGGAAGGAAGGAAGGAAGGAAGGAAGAGAGGGAGGGACAGGAACGGAGGGAGAGAGGGAGGGAGGGAAGAAGGAAAAAAGGGAGGAAGGAAGGGAGGAAAGAAGGAAAGAAGGAAGGAGGGAAGAGAGGGAGGAAAGGAGGGAGGAAGGGGAGGGAGGAAATAAAAAAGAAAGTCAAGCAACCTGCCTGCATGAACCAAATGTCTCCATTGGATTCTGGCAAACCTCTTGTATCTCCAAAGATCTCAGACTGCACTGACAAGCTAGGCAAACTGATTTTGAAAAGACTCAATTTACTTTAAACAAAGTTTTAATAACATTTACCTTTCCTTTTGCTAAAATGAAAAAGGTACTTCCTTCTTCACCCTCTCTAATAATGTAATCTCCTTTGTCATAGTACTCCTATTGGGAAGAGAGAAAAAGAAAGTTTAGACATACTGAAGACATACATTTAAAGACACAAACTCTTATGTCCTTGAGTTAGCCATGTTCGTGCCTGCCTCTCTTATTTCTTGCTTTATGTAGCCATGACTTTTAAATGCTGCATTCCAAAGGTCACCAGGATCACGCTCAGTAGTGCTATAGAGGGGGATAGGGGCGGGAGATAAGGTTGTGGGGGTCAACTCAGAAGGCCTCATGCACAGTATGTACTCTGACCACCCTTTGAGCTATCTCTTTGGGCCCTAGGTCAATTTTTAATGGAAAAAAAGTGTCACCGGAATGGTAAGTATCAGGCATGGGATTGAAGACATGAAGAATAATGAGAATAAGGCAATAATCACTAATATATAGCTGAGTTTTCACCAAAATAATCTAAACGTAAATTGAGTGAGTACCTGAATAATTTAGAACTATTTTCCTCAATTGTTATTAGAGATTCGGGCCTTTGAATTCCTGGAAGCTCTATATACACAGCACCTCCTCTATATGGGTCCTTTTTAAAGATTTATCATCATAAAAAATAGACATCAGAATTTCTCATATGTAAAGTCGATTCTTAAAAGTAGGTCTGACTATAAAATCTCAAACTGTCATTTGTTTTACGTGTGTGTATGTGTGTGTGCGCGCGTGCAAGTAATTTATCCACCTGTCAGGACAAAGGAGCACCTCCATCTCTTAGAAAACAAAAGATGGACTGAACTGTCCACATCTGTTTTGCTTTATTTTGATTTTGTCTTAAAGTCTCAGCACTGAAATGTATAATTATTCAGACAATAGTAGGCCTGTTTAATTTTACAAAAAGGTACAACAAACAACATTAATAGCTCTCCTTTTTCTGTTAGACTTAAATTAAAAACAAAACAATTTTTGTGTCTACTGTATTTCAGTGATATTTTTGATCATTTACTCTACACAGATGAAAATCTTTAGTTCTAATATTAATAAACATACTTTTTATTTACATAAAACTTTTATTACAAGGTCATGAAAGGAAGCATACTATCTCAGCAGGAAAAGGACACTGAATCAGAGAGATCTGGATTCAATTCTCAGTTCTACTTTGAATTTCACTTCTATAATTTACAAGGTTCCGATAGTAATCTTTATTTTCACAGATTCAGAGAAGAGAAGCACATCAATTTTCTATTGGAAATGTAACAAATAATAACACAGTTGGTGATTTGAAGCAACACAAATTTGTAATGTTCGTTTCTGATCAGACATTCCAGAACAGTACAGTCCCACTGGAGGTCTCTGTCTAAGATCCATGAAGACTCCCCAGGGTGAGTCACTTCCTGGAGGCTCCTAGGAAAAAAGCAGCCTCCGTGCCCATTCAGGCTGCTAGTGGAATTCAGTTCCTAGTATTCAGCCCATTTCCAGGTGACCATCATCTGGAGACTACCTGGACTCTCAGAGGCCTCCCTCTGGTGCAGACGTAGCAACAAGCACATCAAATTCTGCCTAAACTTGGATGTCTCAGAGTTTCTGTTTTCCTGCATCGCTATGACTCCAGCCAGAGAAAATTCTCTTCTCAGAATAACCATCCTATCTGATAGTCCTGAATTTTAATTGTATCTATAATTCAATACTTTTTGTCATGTACTATAACGTAGTCACACATTCCAGAAATTAAGGTGTAAACAATTTGGGTGACTTCATTCTATTTCCACAAAAAAAAGACAAAGTCCGTGTTTTTTTTTTTAAGCTTTCAGAGCTCCTGAAATAGTACTCAATGACTGTCATGGTAAGAAGGGGCCTGATGACATAAAGAAGTGGTAGAAGGAGTAGGTCTCGTATTTTGTTACTTTATATTCCCCAGATGAATGCAATATTTCTACGTCTATCCCTCTCTTTCTGACTCATTTTGCTTAACATGATACTTTCCATGTAGTACCACTTGTATGTAAATGTCATGATTTCATCTTTTCTAACAGCTACATAGTACTCCATTGTGCAAATGTACCAAAGTTTCTTTAACCAGTCATCTGTCCTCAGGCACTCAGGTTTTTTCCAGATTCTGGCTAATACCCAAGAGTGGCCGAGATTAGTACCAGGAATTTTGCTCCATGGCTTGGAGGCCAGCCACACATGCTAGGGGAAAAGGGACCTCAGACAGAGAAGGGTGCACCAAATAAAGGGTGTTGGGAGGATCCTCCCAGGATAGGAGAAGCATGCTGAAAGTAAACTATAGACCAAACATGATTGCCACTCAATGCCTCTTTTGCAAACCACAACATTCAAAAGGAAAGAGAGAACAAAAGGGAATGCCCTGCCACAGAGGCAGGGTGGGTGGGGGGGCGAGGGGGTGGGAGGGATACTGGGATCCATGGTGGTGGGAAATGGGCACTGGTGGAGGGATGGGTACTTGATCATTGTATAACTGAAACCCAAGCACAAAAATTTGTAAGTCTAAAACTGTACCTCATGGTGTTTCACTAATAAAAAAGAAAAAAAAGAAGTGGTAGAGGGAATTTTCACTCTGGTGGAAGAGTAGAGGTACTGTATCTTTGTATACCTAGAACACACACATGCACACTATTGTAACCATGTCATTTCAATAATAATAAAATAGGGCCAAGAGATAGTTTAGCAGGGAAGGCGCTTATGTGTGGCTGACCCAGGTCTCATCCTTGCCACAGCTTTGGTCTCCCAAAACCTGCTAGGAGTGATCCCTGAGCACAGAGTCAGGAATAAACTGTGAGCAGCAATAGGTGTGACTAGAAAATGTTAAAAAAGGAGGAGAATGTTTGGTCTATAGTCTACTTTCAGCATGCTTCTCCCACCCTAAGAGAAAAAAAAAAAGAAAAGGGAGATGAAAGAAAAAAATAAATTAATTAAAAAAATCACTTGATCACTTGATCACTTGATACCCCGTTACTCATTGGTTTACTCGAGCGGGTGCCAGTAACATCTCCATTCATCCCTGTTGCATGATAGCGTAACCCAATGGCATCTGCTCATTCTAGGGACATGCAGAGCCTCAAATTGATCATTCAGGGTCTTGACGAAGAAGTCTGACCATCTTGTAGGTGGGCATCCAAGCAATCTTTTGACATCCCATAGCCCAATGGCAACTGCTCATTCTAGGAACATGCAGAGCCTTAAACCGATCATTAAGGGTCTTGAGGAAGAAGTCTGACCATCTTGTAGGTGGGCGTCCACGCGATCTTTTGATGTCTCATGGAATCCAGTCAGTAATAGCTCTAGTCCAGCGGTCATCTCTAAACCTCATTACGTGTCCAGCCCATCTGATTTTTGATGCCTTGGCAAATGAGATAGCGTCCCTGATTCTTGAGCGTTGATGGAGATCGGAACTCCCGATTCTATCTCTCATTTGAGTGAAGCGTGATACTTCAAGCATAGCTCTTTTGACTCCTCTTTGAGAGACCCAAATAGTGTTCTCATCCTGTTTTCGTAGGACCCAGGTCTCTGAGGCATATGTCAATGCAGGAAGAACAGTGGAATCGAAGAGATGTGCTCGGACCTGGAGGTTCTTTGTCCTCTTAGTTATTTTTCAATGCTCTTGAAGGCATTCCAAGCCTCTCTCTTCCTCCTGCATAACGCAGGTGCCAGGTCATTCATCATGTCGATTTCTCGACCTAGGTATATATAACTGTTGATTTCGGAGATGGTGGTTCCATTGAGAGTGAATGGAACATCAGGAACAAGACTGTTTCTCATGAACATTGTCTTTGTGAGATTCAGCTGTAATCCGACCTTTCCACACTCATGGTCGAAGTCGGTTAGAATTTTATTTTTTATCTTAAAAAAAATTAAACAATAAAAAGGAGGAGAATGATAAGGGTTTGTTTAAGGGTTGACTATTCCATATCTGTTTCCTTTTTTGCAAAAACAAGATGAAATAACCTTCCTCAACTAACACTCGAGGAGCTGGCACAGCTGTATAGAAAAGAACAGGCAGCTTTATACATGCTACAGCTCTATACAGCTACACGCCAGGCGCCTGTGACTGATCATTCCTGTGGAAGATGCAAAGCTGACCAGCAAAGTCTTCCCTAGTGACTCCTGGCTGTTCAGATCCACCGCACTCCCCTGCTTCCCCACGCTGAGCTGTGACCACCGGCTTAATGAAATGAATCTGACCGGAAGTGATGATTCTCACTCCCAAGGTGGGCCCCAGAGTCCTTTCATATGCCCTCCTCATCATTTCCCCCCAACTGCAGTGACACAACCCAGTGGGTCTTCGGAGAGGGGCCGCATGGGAAAAGGCAGAGCAGTCATCTGAAGCCAACAGGGATGAATTTTCTAAACTGTTCCACAGGAGACAAATTTGCTTGGAATATACTTTGGACTTTGAGCCTCACAATTTCCTTACTCCAACTCCTTATTCTACTTCATATCACAAACTTTCAGGCAAGCTGACTTTTACAGTTGAGACAAGGGATTGCATGAGCAATGTGCCATATAGATGCAGAGTGTAGATATCATTATTCTGTAGCCACTGCTCCCTGTTTTGACCATAAGGGCGGATGGAGCACTCCATATTCCTGGTTCATACCTTCTACTCTTCAGATTCTCTTACACCAAACTCAGATACCAGGGCCCACCCGGGGGGCTCAGGAATATGGAGAGGTCTTGAAGCACTGGCAGGCTGTCGTTCAGTGATTGTAAAAACCTTTGGTGTGCTCCAGTTCCCATCAGTGACCCTGCAAATGAATAACCTGAAAGGGAACACTGAGAAAGCTTCGTTGTCTCCCACAGAGCAAACTTCCTAGTGGCTGTTTTTCCTGGGAATGGTTCTTTGTCACCCCAAACCGTGGAAGGCAGATAAATAATACCTCCCACTGTGTTGACAGTAAGTTCATAGATCAAAAAAAGGCTGGGGACGGAGGCAGACCAAAAATATAGACTGGGAAGCACTGGCCACAATGCTAGACTGTGTTTGTCAACCAGGGGGTGCAGCCAGGCGAGCTAGGTGGTCACCAAGACCAAAAAGAGAAGCACAAACACTGAAGTTATTGTCCTATGGTCACTTCGCAAAGGGGTCCTTTAGAGTACTAAGAAGCCCAAATCCCTATCCTGTGGGAGCAATGGCTTTCAAGTGTTTTCTTACTTTCACCTAAAGTAAGAAATGCATTTTACATGTACACCCAGGTACATGCATACCTAGACATTAATATAAAACAGGACTTTCCAACCAGGCTTATTCTTACTTCTTAAAAAACTTGTCTTTATGTTTACCAGTGAGTTGAATCCTATAATCTAAAAAGGGTATTTGTTTAAAAGAGGTTGGGGATAGATAGAACAAGTAGGGCACTTGCCTTGCGTATGGTTGGCCCAGGTTTGATTCCTGCAACCCATAATGTGTCTCCCAAATAGTTTTTTTTTTAAAAATGATTAAAATGGAAACTCCCTGAATGATTCCTTGCACCCTATAAGTTGTGGCCTCCGAAACAAAGCAAAACAAATTGATTAAAGTGGAGAAATCCCTGAATGAAGAGACAAACTCTGAGTATATAAATTTTATTCATGACTTTAAATGAGTGTGTCTCTCTATATAATAAGTAAAAGTAAAAAGTAAAGGCCCTCCGTTGATCATTGATTTGCTCGAGCGGGCCCAGTAACGTCTCCATTGGAGACTTTGTTGTTACTGCGTTTGGCATATCGAATACATCACGGGGAGCTTGCCAGGCTCTGCCCCGCGGGCGAGATACTCTCAGTAGCTTGCCGGGCTCTCGGAGAGGGGAGGAGAAATCGAACTCGGGTCGGCCATGTTGGCTGCGTGCAAGGCAAACGCCCTACTGCTATGCTATCGCTCCAGCCCCATATAATAAGTACTTGATTAAAATGTTAAAATGTGGGTCTCTGGTTCAGTGTATGGTCGCTGGGAAGCTGACTTAAAAATATTAAAGTGGGGGGCTGGAGCAACAGCACAGCAGGTAAGACGTTTGCTTTGCATGCTGACCTGGGTTCGATTCCCAGCATCCCATATGGTCCCCTAACCACTGCCAGGTGTAATTCCTGAGTGCATGAACCAGGAGTACTTCTATGCATTTCCGGGTGTGACCCCAAAAGAAAAAAAATGATATTAAAGTGGGGCTAGAATGATAGAATAGTGGGCAAGATGCTGCTGGCCTCACAAGTAGCCAACCTGGGTTTGACATCTGGTACCCAATATAGTCCCTTGCACATCACCATAAAAGATTCCTGTGTGCAGAACCAGGAGTAACTCCTGAGCACCACTGAGGGTGACCCCAAAACCAAAACAAAACAAAAAAAAGAAATTAAAGTACCATGATTTACAAAGTTATTCATGGCTGAATTTTAATCACAACATATTCAAGCACAGACCCCATCACCTGTGTCCACTTCCCTCCACCAGTGTCCCCAGATTCCCTCCCACTCCTCAGACGGTCTCCTTGAAAGGCACATTTTTGTTTGGTTGTTCTAGTTTGGATCTCACGTTTCCAATGCTGGTTTGGTGGTCTGGATCTACAGGTAATGCATGACCAACCTACCCTTGACCCCTGTCTCTCTGGTTCCTGCTTTTCTTACTTTACCCCTCAATTTCTGATTTCTTTTCTTTACTGCATTTCTTCTCCATGTACTCTGAGGTCATGGCTGACCTAAGCATTCCCCTAGTGCTCACGGCAGGTGATCCGGATAAGGAGGAGAGCATTCCACACCACTCCACTCACCTCCTACTCTACCTCTACAATCAGAAATGATGGAATTGGAGTTGCAAGGACCCTGGGCCAAATACCAAAGCTCAGTAACAGACTCAGGTGACTTTGCAAACTACCACAGTCAAATCTCATGCTTCCTGGATTGAGTCCTGAGCATGGGAGCTGGAACTGCATCCACTCCTGTCTTCCCTACCACTCACTGCCAGGTGCAGATGTGTCATTATCACTTTCATTATCATCATAGTTACATGGCACTCAAATTCTGTATCTTCCATTATGATGCTCATTTGTTAACTCTTAAAGCCCACTGGTGAATATGTTGGCACAATTCCCACTTACACGTTCCACAGATGAAGAGAAAAGGCTTCAAAGTGGTGTTTGCCCCTAGAAGTGTCTTGGTGATTTAGGTGACAGTGACGCAAGCTACTGGAACACTGCACAGTGAGAAACATTTGAACTAGGAATTTAACACTCTTAATAAACATAACATATTATCTTCTTGGTGGTAGGTAATTGTAGCCTCCCACCCTCGCCCTGAGAACAGAACAAAACAAAACAAAACAAAACCTTCTCGAATCAATTCCCACACAACCTGCCAGATTCAGCCTGCTTTTCTCAATGATTATGAAACCAGTTTGCAGGACAGCTGGTCTTGGAACTCATCTGGGCAAGCTGTCAGAACTCCCATCCCTAAGTGACGGGCTGTTGTCAGGACCGTGTTGATGGGCGATTAGTCCGAGTTATGGTGATCAAATTATGCTTTTTTCTTAGAGTTAAATAGAGCCTCACTCCCTTGTTAATCACGTTCCGCATTTGAGAATTTTCACACACGTTACACAGATACATTTGTTTGCCAGGTACGCATAAAGAGCACTTTATAACCATGCTAGTGTCCATGAATGCTGATATAATAAAGTCTTTCTAGGGTATTTCAAAAAATGAGCTTGCAAACTTGAATTTTATTTTAAATAATACCCAATTTGGAGGCCCTCATCTATATATTCTACAGCGCTTGCTTGTGGCTATGGTATACATGCCTAATTTGTCATTTATTTTTCATAACACTAAATTGTGATAATATTTATTGCCCTCCTGGAATTCCCCTCTAGTGAATCTACTCTATTAGTATTATATTAAAAGCAGATTTCTTCAGTTAACAAAAAATATATAGGGCCTCTCTTGCTTAAGAAACACTCAGAAATTAGGATGAATTATTAATTTGTAACATCTGTTATTGGGTAGTGTTACATTGGGGAAAATCCTGAGAGATAGGGGGCAAAAGTCCTCTGGAAAATGACTTCATATCAGAACACTCTTGGGACACACAGCCGCTCTGTGTCACCCTAGCTGATCCTTGATAAATTGCTGGATGACTTCCACGACTGTAAATGGTAACATTACTGGTGTCACTTACACTTAAGGATACAATGATCAGGGTTCTTTTCTCAACAGATATTAGTTTACATTATATATTGTGATTGACAAAGGTATGACTCTGTCAATAATCAGTCTTTCAGGCTATTTTCTGTCTCCTACTGAGAACAGCTTTATAAAGGTTTCAAGTCTTCATGGGACTCTTTGGTTATTCCTTACCTTCCGTAAAAGCCATTTTCCTTTCTATGAAATTGAATCCCCCAAAAGTTAGGGAAAGGTTATTTGCTTTGAATTTTAATCTCTGAAATCTGAAGAGGTTTCATATTATGCATATCATTAGAATCCAAGGTACAAGTTAGAAGAGCATTATTCATGAAAAGAATTAACTAATCTTGGGTTAGAACCAACCATCTGGGTAATGCTTCTGAATACATGCCAATATGCCAGTTTTCCTGAGATGTTAAAATAGGTAAATTGATTTGTAAGTGTGACTTTTAAAATGTCTTCTCCTGGTGTAGCATTTTCACCACTGGGGTGCAGCGGGGAGGTCTTTCATAACCTGATTCAAAAACCTGTCACCAAAAGCCCCAATATCCTCTTTCTCTAATCCATTTGCTAATTATGCATTACTGACTCCTTTGTATTATGAACTTTCTGTAAGGAATTGTCATGTTAATTGCAGAAAATTGAATGCCTCTTGAGTCAGACAGTTTAGTTTCAAAAATACTAAAAAGACAAAAATATGTAAATCAAATGTCACTCTGCATGTGCGAACCCAACTCCTTTTTTACATTTCAGAAGAGTGTGAATTAGCCTAAGCTTTTTCACAATAGGAATGGTTACTGGTCTCTGCAGATCTCTAAATTCATTTCTGGTGCTAGCAATCAGTGGATGATGTAATCTTTTAATAAATTTTTTTTTTAATTTGGAATTTCTTACCACTTCCAAGCAGTCAATGATCTTGGCTAGCTTATCTTCAGGTAAATTCTTCAGCAAGGAAACACTTCAAAATTAAAATGAAATCTTTAGTTAGTATCCTGAATTAAACTATAAATGCAGATATATCTGCAGATTCAAAGTCTTTGCATGAATATAAACATAAAATGCATATTAGTTATCTCAAAGTAAATCCTTAACTATATCACACACTAATAATCAAATCTAAATACAATGAAATTACAAATTACATGATCACAGACATCTATCAAAAACAATTTTTTAGATCTTTACAGCACACAGCCACAGAGAAGAAAGGCTGCGAGGAGGCTCCACAGCTCCCGGAGAATGCACTAGGTCCTGAAGAGAGCTGAGATCACCGGGAAGTCCCAGATGGGGTAGGTGCCGCATCCCGCCTCCTCCAGATAGAACCCTGGTGACCATGAGCCTCTACAAGCATAGCTCGAATATGCGGGAACTAGGACTTTTACTCCAAACTGCGCGGCCGCATAAGCAACCGCGCGACATCTCCCTATATGCAAGGTAATCAAAGGAAAGTACATCATCCAACGTTTCTCCCTGAAAACCAGGATTAACTCTTATACAGGCCACAACACCCAATGGGAGAGAGAGAACAAAAGAGAATGCCCTGCCGCAAAGTCAGGATGGAATGAGGGGAGGGTGGGAGGTGTGAGGGATACTGGGATCCGAGGTGGTCGAAAATGGTCACGGGTGGAGGGATGGGTATTCAAAATAAATGAATTAATTAATAAAAAAAATTTTTTATAAAGTAGTAAGATACCATAAAGGAAAGAGATCACATATTTTCTGTTCAGGAAAAAATTTGATTTTAATTTTTACTGCTTGTTTTGAAAGTAAACATTTTTGGAAAAGTGTTTCCAACATCACAAAATCCCCCCCCCCTTTTTTTTTTGGATAGGACAAATATGCCAGCACTAAATATGTCACTCACTCATGATGCTTATTGTAACCCTCTACTAGGTATGTTTACTCCTAGTTTGCTAAGGGATTTTTACATATTTCCAATAATAAATTAGAATCTCATTTATATTGACGATGATCAGTTTCTTTACATATACAGAAAGACTTTTATTGCAAGCTTTTACTTTTGATGCAGATATTCAAACAGTATCCATTATATAATACTTTCTAATGTAAAACCTATTTTTTCCTTTCTTAGAACACTTGGTACTTTTACAGGCCTATTTAGATTTTTCTTTAAATTTTCTTTATTTGCTTCATTCTTACTAAGCTTTACATCTGTAGGTTTTAAGTATTTCATATAAGCTCTAAAATACATTGGCACAGAATTTTTAAAAAATAAGCTTTTATTAATAAGAAGGATGGCTGGAGCGATAGCACAGCGGGTAGGGCGTTCGCCTTACAAGCGGCCAACATGGCCGACCCGAATTCGATTCCTCTGCCCCTCTCGGAGAGCCCGGCAAGCTACCGAGAGTATTCGATATGCCAGACACAGTAACAACAAAGTCTCCAATGGAGACGTTACTGGGCCCGCTCGAGCAAATCGACGATCAACGGGAGGGCCTTTACCTTACCTTTACCTTTAATAATAAGGAAGACCTGATAATTATCACACTAAGACTAAGTACAAAAAAACTACTGAATGCAATATATTTTAGGTGCCAGAATTGAAAACTCATTTATAAAAATGAGAATAGACATTAATATATTGTGTTGAATGATTTAAATTTTGTTATTAACATACGGTAAAATCATATATAATCGATCATCACAAACTGATTTTTACTGATGTATTTTCTAATAATTCTATTTTTCATTCCTTTAAGTTTTGTGTGAACAAGCAATATGAATAAATTTGTTGTAATGCCTCCAATGTGGGCAGCTGGGGGGGTTGGAAGAAAACTTGGGGACTTTGGTGAAAAAAAAGATCACACTGGTGTTGAGATTAGTGTGTGAACACTGTTTTCCTAAAACAACCCTATTATGAACAACTTTGTAAATGACCATGTCTTAATAAGAATAATTTTTAAAAACTCTGTTAGAATCGGTGAAGAGTTCTACTTTCAGAGAAGTATAAAATTTCATCTAAACTCTCATAATCAAATAAAATTGATATCCAGGGAGAATGCAGCAATCAGCATTCAAATGATAGCTGATTATTAGCCATACTATTCTGTCAGTTAGAATTTATTATGGCCAGTTTTTTAACAGAAACGTTTTTACAGATAATGATAGTAATATACAGAGTGAAATGGAATTCTAAAAAGTACTATATTTTGAATCAAAAATTCCACTCAATATGATTAATATCATATCATCATAATATCATATCAATATCATCAATATGATTAATAGTTATCAAAGAGATTTGCTATTCTACTTTGTCCATTTTTACTCAGGACACAACATAAGAAACTATACGATAAATACATTTTTGTTATTATCTAAAATGACACGACTGAAGGAAAAAATGAAACTACTCCAAAAATACACAACTGGATTTGATTTTTGAAAGCAGATATCTGGACTGTCACATGTGTACAAGCATGGAAAGATGCATATAAAGATGTTTGCACAAAAATTTTGTATAACTGCATGACATTGAATTGCCCCAACAAATAATACACTACAGTTATTAAGGCAGATGATGGAATTCTCCAACAGGGCAGATGACTACACTGATCAACTTTGAACTGAAACTCAAAAGGATGAACCTTAGAGAAGAACATTGAATAAAAAAAATTAATTGCAAAAATAACACCATTTTTTAGGATGCTCAAAAATAGGCTATCCTGCTATGAGTAAAATAAGAGAATATCAAGATAATGATAGAATGATTGTTGAACTTGATGCTCTAACTGTCCTAAGACGAGGGACTGGAAATGTTGGAAATAATAAGGAGAAATCTGGATAAATCCAACATGGCTCATTGCTGACTTCCCAGGTTGGACCTAGCTTGATGGTGTTCATTTGGTTGTGTTTTATAACTCAGATAAGTGCTATATATATTTTATGAATGCATCACATATTTCATAATAAAAAGGTGCAAATGTATAATAGCCTATTGTATACTATTAATAAAAAAAATGTTTCTCTTTTACTTCCCTCTACTAATGAGAGGTGGTAGGGCTTGTCTTGGATGAACATGCCAACCATGAAAGTTGTAGCTCTGACCCAAACTAGGCCAAGGAGGGTTAGTGAAAATTCTCTCCTATTAATCTATGACATTTGGGAATTGGAGGAAGATGATATGAAGGAAAAAATTGTTCTTATGATGACAGAGATCAGGTTTATTTTACTTACTGCTAAGTGGATAATGATTAGGGTCTGTCTTAAATGCTTGTTGAATGAATGTGTGAATGAGGTAACAGAGTGAAGGAAGGAAGGAATTTACAGGTAAATACTCTGAACTCAGTCCATAATGACAGAACAAGTCAGATTCCACTGGTCAGCCTGTTGCCTGTTAATTCAAGTTTTATCTGGGCTATTCAAATGCAAACATGGGTGGTAGCTTATTTACTTTTTGATCCTTGCATAAGTTTAGTAAATTAGCTTTAAATGTTGAGGTGCAGTGCTCAGCTGTTAGATTTTGAGATCCCATTCAAGTATATAGAATCCACAATGCAGTGGTTGGCGTCTAAGTAAAACACCTCATTTTATTATCGCAGCCCTCTACTATGAGTCAGTATTATCTCAAAAAGGGTGAATCAGCAAGCTTTTTTATAGAAATTTTAAGTGCCAGTGATGTTTTACTGATTAACAATGTGCTTGTTCCCAATAAATGCAATAAACTATACGGCATGGAAATCATTGGCTTTGCAAGCTAGTTATGCAAGAAAAACATCACTATACATGAAAAGAGATTCAAATTTATTCTTGAAAATCATATAATACTTTATTATTACCAGTTATCACAGGCACTAATTAGTATATATACTGCAGCTTTAAACTTGTAAAATTCCCCCAAAACACTGAAATAGCATAAATTGACCATATTTTTTTCTAAAAATTTACATGTGTACCTTTTCAGTCACATAGATATTTGTTTCTCTATAAATAAACTAACTTTAAAAGGGTACAATACAGTTCTCATGCCAGGATCAATGTCATCGAGATAAGCATAGTAACATTTTTGCAAGTTAATTTGCTATAAATAATAGTTTTTCTGCATAGCAACACTATATTCTTTGATCATCGATTTGCTCGAGTGGGCCCAGTAACGTCTCCATTGGAGACTTTGTTGTTACTGTGTCTGGCATATCCAATACTCTCGGTAGCTTGCTGGGCTCTCCGAGAGGGGCGGAGGAATCGAACTCGGGTTGGCCATGTTGGCCGCTTGTAAGGCGAACGCCCTACCCGCTGTGCTATCGCTCCATATTCTTAAAACATTAATATTTATACTATTGTAATTCATGGTGCCCAAATTAATAGTAGCAATATCATAGAAGATATTGTGGATAAGGAATTGAAATAGAATGCCTCAGTTAAAACAAGTATAGCACTGTGTGTTGTCCCATTGTTCATTGATTTGCTCAAGCAGGCACCAGTAACGTCTCCATTGTGAGACTTGTTGTTATTGTTTTTGGCATATCGAATACACCACGGGTAGCTTTCCAATTTCTGCCATGCGGGCCAGATACTCTCAGTAGCTTGCTGGGCTCTCCGAGAGGGGCGGAGGAATCAAACTGGGTTGGCCATATGCAAGGCGAACGCCCTACCCGCTGTGCTATTGTAAAATTAATCAACTTTAATATTAGTCTAAGTAAAGCATTGTAAGAAGATGGTATTTTGTTATCCATTTCCAAATTATAGAATGACTTTCAAAGTGAACAATATTTTAGAACACTTCACACATTTTTTTCTATACCATAATAGGATCAATCAAGGGCAAAACTAGTGGAAGAAGTTAATCGAGGCATAAACCTGATGCGAGTTAAATAAAAAACTTTCGTATAGAGTAATATTAAATACAAGGATAGTTCTGTTCCTTAATTATGTGGAAAACAAATGAGAAAGACCTGTCGTAAAATAATTATTCCGATAGAACCATTATAACTGTGATATGACTACCACACTTTCTGGTCTTTCAATGTCTCTTTCTTACCTTCTGAGGAAGTTTCTGTACTGTTCATCTCTAGCTTGAGCTGTTCTTCTCATTATGTTCTGGAATACCTCTCGATCCAGTGCCCAAGTTTTAACATTGGTAACAGCTTTGTAGAAATCAAGAAAGTGATAAAAATGTTTAATCACCCCACTTAAACATTTCAAAAAATTCTCTCAAGTTGTGTGTTATATATTCTCAGAAAAAGATATGTTTTTTGGAAGCTGTATTCTTTTAACAAGTACATGGCAGTAGAAGGAAACCATGATATAAACAGTAGGTAATTTTATAAAATATTTTTTGGCTTTGAAGTGAGCCATGATTTGGAATTAAGTAGCAAATAATTTTTTTTCTAATTATGTTTTGCTTAGACTGATATTGGAATTAGTTTGTAATCCCCAATTACTTGTTACATCATCAGGATGTTTTTAAGGTTTGTGATGTGATATAAGAGAAAACTAGTCAGCCTATACCTATGCAGAGTGAAGACATTACACGCCTATAGTTGAAAGTTAAAGATCTGTATATGTGTGTGTGTGTGTGTGTGTGTGTGTGTGTGTGTGTACTTGAAGTTTTTTACTTTTTTGTCCATTTACATTTTTATTCATACATTATTTCAACACCACACCCACCTATTAGGACCACTTTCCTCCACCATTGTCCCAAAGATCCCTCCCACCCAATCTCGTCCTCCCCCTGCAACCCCTTTCTCCCTCGTAAACTCAGTTCTGTGGACCAATCAACTCTGAAGTAGTATTGCAGGACCTTATGAAAATTCTAGTCTTACTTCTTTTGAGAAATATCCATACTGCTTTCCACAGAGGTTGAACCAGATGACATTCTCACCAACAGCAAATGAGTGTTCCTTTTTCAAAACATCTCTGACAACACTAGTTATTTCTAGACTTTTTGATATATGCCATTCTGTAAGTGGGCTTTTATATCTTTTGTTTAGACAGTGTTGCTAATGAAAACCAATATATTTTAAGGATCTCTATGGTTACTTCGGTATAAAATGTATACAATTATTTCGAAAGAAATTAAGCAAACTCAAAATCAAGAATATAATGTAAAAAGCACAAAGTACAGAAGAAGCAACTCTGAAAATCTGTTTTAGATATTTCCAAAGGAGTAATGAGAGACTACATGACAAAGTCCAATATTCTGGCTTATTAAATTTTACAATAAATTTAAATTATCTAGGTATTCTTGTTAAAAATACAGGTCCTTGGGTCAGACTGCCAGAAATTCTGATTCAGGTTTGGAGTAAAGCTCTAGAATCTGCATTTTTATTAAGTAGGACAACATTGCTGCGACTATAACTAAGTTCCAAACACAGAAAGCAACATATCTAAATAATTCAGAAGAAAACCTAAAACCCCCATGAATGAATAAAGTAAATGGAAGCATAAATCTAGAGAGAATCAATTAAACTCCCCAAAGTCATCCATGAAAACTCTAATTAATTCACATTCTTTTTGGAACTTATACATTTTGTTAGTTAATTGATTTTCTGGTTTATAATATTGTCAGGACCTCTTAGACAGAGGAGAAAGTACATATTGTGGATGAATCAAAGGCAGAAATTTGCACAGTAAAATTTAAAAAAGAAAAGTGGTAGGTCAGACAAATATTTAAATCATTCCATTTAAGTTCATTTTGTTATTTTATAGACAGGTGTCTGATAGAAGAGTTCTATAAAGCCTCAATTACTTTCACAAGTTCTTCAGTAGAAAAATCTTCATTAGCCCAACATTTTACTAATGAGATTTTGGGCACAAAACACTGACTTGGCCAGTTAGCCTTTAATGCTGTGCATCAATTCAAACATCCGCCCTTCATTTCCTGTTACCTTTCACAGAGGCAGTCCTTGTGCAGTTGTATAAAATGGCCAGTTCCCCAAACGTGGTCCATAGAGGGATGGCTGAGAGGAATTTCTCCCCTTGGAACACCTCGAGTCGGCCCTCTATCAGGAAGAAATTGTGAGAAACAGTCAAAAATCTACCTGGATTCTATACATCATTTTTTTTAATTAGAAAGTACACAAAGCATAAACTGGTAAGATATCTTAAACAAAAAAGAATAAAGTGGTTAAGAGTACAGTCTGAATCAATTTCTACCACTTAGTATCACTTGTTTTATCTTGAGTTATTCTGCCTGAGTTTCCTCACTGATAAAATGGGGTAATAATGGTAACATACAGATGTTGTGAAAGTTAAGTAAGTTAATATAGGTATAGGACCCAGAATCATGTATAGCAAAAGCACATAGTAAATGCTTTGTCAGAACAGTTGCTAATAATATTATCATCACCGTTACAAAGTTCTCGCTCTGAAGCAGTGGATAGTTAGGCCCTGTTAATTCATTCTCCCCTATGACAAACATAGGACATGAAGCCATTTCTCTTGTAGGGTCTGACTTGTGATAATTAAGAAATGCAGGCACCCTAAAGTCAGTCTGCTTAGTTCTTTCTAGTTATTGACTTCATGTGACTTTGAGTAACTCCACTTAAAATGAACAAACAAACAAACAAACAAATACACATCACACAACCTCAATAGCCACATTGTTAAAAACAGGCCAAAGACTTTAACACTCGTTAAAGTAAACACACAGATGTCAAATATGAAACAGTGTACCGCATATATTTTTCAGGTAAATTTAAATAATATTTTTAAATAATTTAAAGTTAAATAATATTTAAAATAATAATTTTATTCTTAACACCTATTAAAATGACCAAGTTCTAGAACACTGATACCAGCAAATGTTGAGGATTTGATGCCATCGTAATACTGGTAGAAAAGTTAAAACGTGCAACCAATTTAGTAGTAGTTCTCTTACAAAAGTAAATATGTTCTTACCATACAGCATACACCCATACAATCATACAACCTAGAGATTAAGTTTATTAGCATTTATTCAAAGGAGTTAAAAACTTAGCTCTACACAAAAGCCTGCACATGGATATTCACAGTCGATTAATTCATAAGTGTCAAAACGGGGGTGGAGTGGTGGTTAGCTCACAGGGCTGGAATGGAGGTCCCTGAGTTCAACACTTCACTCTATGTGGCCTCCTAAGCAGTACTGGGTGTCGCCCCAATGGTCTCCAGCACTACTAAAGAGTTACCAGTTCCCCTAAAATAAAAGCCTAAAACTTTGAAATAACTAAAATTTCTTTCAGTAGACAAATGTATACATAATCTCTCTAGGTAACAGAATATTAGTACTAAAGAGAATTGATGACATAAAAAGGCCATAAAAAGGCATGAAGAAACCATAAAGGTTTAGCACTAAGTGAAAGAAATCTGAAAAGGCTATCCAGATAACATTCTGAAAAAGAGGAAATACAGAGACAAAAAAAGACCATTCACAGCTGCCTGGGGGGTGCCAGCTGTGCTAGAACAACCTAGAACTTCCACCACGCAAATCAAGAGCTCCTCTACTGAACATACCCTTATTCTGGAACACCCAAGATTTTTAGGGCAACTGAAAATACCATGATGTGTAGCACTGCACTGCCCTGAAGCACTGTCCTCCTGTTGTTCATCGATTTGCTTGAGCAGGCACCAGTAACGTCTCCATTGTGAGACTTGTTGTAACTGTTTTTGGCATATTGAATACGCCATGGGTAGCTTGCCAGGCTTTGCCGTGTGGGCAGGATACTCTCAGTAGCTTGCCAGGCTCTCTGAGAGGGGTGGAGGAATCGAACCTGGATTGGCCGCATATAAGTCAATCGTCCCACCTGCTGTGCTATCGTTCCAGCCCACCATGATGTGTAGGATATTAAAAAGATATGCCATTATGCATTTGTCCAAACCTATAATTCTATAGTATGCGATGGCCGGAGAGAGAGTGTAGCACGGAAGGTGCTGCCCTTGCATGCGGCTGACCTGGGCTGTACTCAATATGGTCCCTGATTCCTGAACACGGAGCCAGGAGTAAGACCTGAGCACAGCCAGGTGTGACCTCAAAACCAAAAAACTTTAAAACAGCAGGAAAAAATATCCCATAGTATGCAGAACACTAAATATAGCCTTTGGGTGATTACAATGTGTTAATGTAGGTTGATACTTGGTTTAAAAAAAAAAAAGTGTCCCATTCAGATGAGTAATGTGGATAAATGGAGGAGGCTCCAGATATGTGGGGGCAGGAGATATTTGGGAAATCTGTTCCTTCTTTCAATTTTCTTGTAAACCTAAAACTGCTCCAAATAAATAAAGCTCTATATAAAAAAAGAAGCATGTTTTACACAAATCTTCATCTAGGCCAAAGGATGAGGGGAAGGACAGACATACATTTAGACAGCCACTTCACAATTCCTTTTGCTCTGGAAGATTTTTCTTTCCCTTCAAAGAAATGCAAATAAAACCTTACCTAATGAAAATCATAGACAAAAATGTCCTATATTTCTAGACAGGAGATAAGAGAACGTGGTCATTTACGTTTCCTTACCCAGCTTTTATCTTTACCCAGCGTTTCTTTTTCTAATTCAGCACTGTGCTGCTGAGTCAATTCTATCCATCCATTCACTCAACAAATCTGATTTAAGTGCCTATTTATCCCAGAAACTGGGCCAGCTGCCAGAGAGATAGCGTGAGAGTGAATGAAACAGAAAAGACACATACCCTGGCAGAATTCTAGTTATATCTAGTAAAAAATAAGCTCTGTTTCAACTCCAAGTACTACAGATGAGATGTCAATTTAATAATTTCTCATTACAACTATATTTTATTTCATGAAAATCACTTACTGAGTCTATGAAGTGTATATCATGGATCTTAATACATTTCAAGTGTTTTATTTCCTAATGATGTTGGACCACAGAATTTGAACAAAACTGAAGAATTATGTGAAATACCAAAAGCTTAAGCTAATTATGCTTTTACTATTTGCTAGTAAGACGATTTTATGAGTAAGATTTTACTTAACAAGTAAATTTGCTCCTTTTTTAAATCAAGCAATATAGTCCTTAAATAATGCCATAATTAATTCAAGCAAGAAGTGTTCAATTTTCATTTTGCTGTGTGCTCTCGCCTTCATTTCAATGGCTGTATTGATGCTGACTTGAGTTCAAACACTTCTCTCCCTGAGCCTTTCATCAGAGTTACTGGCAAGGAACAAAATAGCCTGGCATCAGTGTCTCATCCTTTCCTAGCAGACTCCATAAATATTTATTGACTTTATGACCTATCTTCTCCTACCAGAATATTCTATTGTTGCTAAAGCAGAAGTGAAGCATAGAAAGAAGAAAAAAACTGCTCTTGAAGGTTACTAAATCAGGATTATAATTGACTTCTTCGGTAGAAAAATTTCTTGAAAATAGAAAAGATGTATATCAGCTATCAGCAACCAATAATTACAAAACCTAAAAGTTTAGAAAATCAGTATGTGAAAGCAATTTCTTATATGCTGTACCTAGAGTGTTGTTTAATTTGTTTCGACAGGTGACTTCTGCCCAAAAGAAAACAAGGATCATCTAGGTTTTGCTTAGGCCATCAGGAACTACAATACCAAACAGAGATTATAGCATTTCTCAGGGAACAGTCTGTCTAGTCAACCATTTCCAGTAAGACTCAACAAATTGAGGCAATTAAAAAATTTGACAAGAGACTCAATAACCATAAGCAAGTCTTTTTCAAATAACTTCTTGCTTCAATATGTAAAATTTGTGGGGAGAGGGAAGGAGCAGTTCTATAAAATATTCAAATTTGAAAAATAAATCCTTTGGCTAGCTAAGCATTGGAGACTGTTCCAATGTGTAAACATTTTCAGTGAGCTATCTCTCTAGCCTATAATCTCAAAATTTTCTATTTGTCTATTGATTAAACATACCTAAATCATATCTTTAATACCTGCATTTATAAAATTTATCAAATATTATAATGATATTTATTTTATGAATATTTGTGTATGTAGCCAAAATACTTTGCAGAACCCTCCAAATAACTTTTTTTTCTTTTCCCCTGGATCAACTACCTAAAAATGTGTCAACATAAGCAGCAGTACACTGAATATAAATATTTTTGCTAGCTGTTGAATAATGATACCATGATTCAAAGTGTAGCTCCTGAGTAAGATTGCCAAGATCTGCATCTGCCTCTACCATCAGATGCTGTGTGGTCTTGGTTAAGTTACTTAACTTCTTAGAAATAATAGTAACATGGAGATAACAACCCTAGTCCAACAGAGTTGGTGAGATGAAATGAGATCTATTAAGTGCTCAAAATGACATGTAGAAAGCATTCAGTAAACAGTAAAAAAAAAATCACTGTGATTGAATCAATCATGTTACGATTTCATAGCTTGTTCTGTTACATTTTCAACAAATAGGACAAAATATTCTGTGTTTTTATAAATGTTCACAAAAAATATTAGCAAAACATTTGTTGTATGAGTATTGGAAAAAAATCTAAAACCTACCTGCCAGTACAAAAATATGGTTTCCTGGTTCTCCTTGCTTAATAATGTAACTCCCTTGCTGGTAATTTCTTCCATACATGCATTCCACCATGTCTTTGATCTGCTGAGGATCTAGCCTCTTCAGAAACTGATTTTTATTAAGGGCATCGGTAATGAGCTTCTTCTCACTGGAATAACAAAAGAAATGTTAGTTATAATGAAGATCCATATTTTGCTCTTCAGATTCACATTTCTGCTTTTTTTTTCTAGTCCACTAAATGTCTTCCCCTTGCAATTATCACATTTTACATATAAAAGCTGAAGAAACATTTCTGAACATTCCTATGATTATGGTAATTATTACTACCCTTACTACTCCTGATAAGGTTACAAATGTAGAACTCTCAGGAAGCCTAGATGCATTACAGATTACATGATTTCTAGATGAAAAACATGTGCATATGACAGATACAAAGAGGAATATTCAAGAGACTAAGACACAGTATTCACTGTATCCACACAAGCACAGATAGCACTGTGGTACTAGTTATTTTATATCTTATTTAATCCTCATTCCCATTGTGAAAGATAATTACTATTCCTATTGTATAGCATAGTCAACCAAAAGATAAGAAACAACTTATTTCTTAAACCTTTGTCTGTAAGGGCCAGAGAGATAATACAGCAGGTAAGGCACTTGATTGCACGTGCCTGACCAGGGTTCAGTTTCCAGCACTACATTATGCCTTCCCCAATATCCCTTGAACCTGCCATGAATGATCCCTGAGCACAGAGCCAGGAGTCGATCTGAGCACTGCAGGGATGGCCCCAAAACCAAACAAACAAGCCTAAGTATGCAGTGTGAAGTCTGAGCTACTTTCACTCTTTTGAGTACCTCTTCTGAGATGAGTAAATTAGCTCCCTTGGGGGTCCTTAGCTTTCATGCCATGAGGGGGCTTATGGTGGTAGTTTACTTGGGTTTATAGGTTTTCATTCTTAGTATGTCTCGATTAGACAGATTTATATTCCTGCCTCACAGCTTTCTCCAAATCCAAGGTTCATTTGTCCACATGCCTTTTTTTTTTCAGAGAAAGAAGTAGCTCAAAATAATTTCCCAGAGTTCATTACCAAAAATTCAAATATTTAATTAACATATATACAAATCATAGAACTACTGAACTGGAAAAAAATTGCCATTTAAGCTCAGTAAAGATATCTGCACAATATTTTTGACTGCACAATTTATTTGCTCAAATTCAGCACTATTTTAATAGGATTTTTTCATGTTTATTTCTTTAATTCAGACTAGATTTATTATTTAACAATTGGTGATTTTTTTTCTACATAGAAAGTTTTCAAACACAATGTAAAATTTCATAGATGATGCTTCCTTCATTTATCTTATCTATGGATCATTAAGCTAGATAAAGGAAACAGAAGAAGTCTTGTATAAAATTTCCTTCTTTCTTAAGACTTCATCCTCAGTGCTCAGAACAGGATATACACCTCAAATATTGCATCTCTCTTTATACCATTAATAGTTTGAAAGACTGTATTCAACAAATTCAGAATATACATTCTTTTCGAGTGTACATGAAAACTGACCATATAGTGGACCATGAAAAGCAAATCTCAATTTCACAGGACAGAATAAGACAGATTATATTTATTGAGTACAGTAGGTATAAACTAGAAGTCAAAACTGAAAAAGTATTCAGAAATTTTTCAAATTGTTGGCTATCGAGCAAGAACTTCTAAATAGCCCTTTGATTAAAAAATACATCAAACAGGAAGTCAGATTTATTGAATAAATAACCAGAACAATTTCAAACTTGTGAAAACAGTGAAGTCAATTCTAAAGAAAAATGTATAGCTTTAAGTAGCTATAACAGAATAGAAGAAAGATTACAAATGTCTTTGTTTTGTACCAATTCAAAGACCAAGAAAAAGAAAGGTAACTATAAAGGGAAAGAAAAATTTAAAAAAGGAAAAGTTTAAAAAAGAAAAGAAGGGGCTGGAGTGATAGTACAGTGGGTAGGGCGTTTGCCTTGCACTCGGCCAACCCGGGTTCGATTCCCTGCATCCCATATGGTCCCCTGAGCACCGCCAGGAGTAACTCCTGAGATCAGAGCCAGGAATAAACCCTGTGCACTCCCGGGTGTAACCCAAAACTCAAAAGAAAACAACAAAAAAAGAAAAAACAAAGTTACAGAAAAAGAAATGAAAAAACATTCAAAGAAGAGAAACATCATTGTCCAAAATAATTTATTTGAAAAATAAATAGAATGGATAAATCCCTGACAAGAAAGTAGAAAAATGTTTAAATAACAACTTTGAAAAACAGTTTAAATAACAACTTTGAAAATAAGAAAAAATAATTATATATTATATATATGCAAAAAGAAATCTTATGATATTTTAAAATATTTAAAAATTTTATATGGAATAAAAAACTCTTTGAAGCATCAAGCATACCAAATCTAACTCCAAAAATGCAAGTTGAATTGGCAAAGCAAAAATTAAATAAAAACTACCTTACAAAAAAATACAGATCCAGATGACATGATTACTAAGTATTCGATGTATTAAAGAAAATATTGTTAATGCTATGTGTTATTTTACTAAAAAATTAAAAAGTCTTTTACCCAAATATTTCATAGTTCTGGGAAAGCCTGATGCCAAAACCTACATTACAAGAAAGGTAATTCAAAATTAATATTCCTCATGATGATGTAAAAGTCAAACTCAAAAATAAGTATGAGAGGTAAGTATTATAATTCAAGCTAAAAATCAATGTAATTAACCTTATGGGAGGAGGGGAGAAAAACTCAATTCTTATATTATAAAAGAAAGTACTTGGGGTGGTTCAGGGTACCCCTCCCCACAGTGCTCAGGAGGCCAGGGGTTCCCTCACAGCCAGGGGTCCCCTCACCCCAACTGGGCTGGTGGTTCTGTGTTTGGACCTGAGGTGGTGAGGTTGCTCATGGCCTGCAGTCCTATACTGGGGGGTTACTGAAGGCTCCTCAGCAGTGCTCGCTGCCATCCAGAGCTGCACAGTAATGCACAGGGGTCAGTCACTGCAAGATAGATGCCTTCACTCTGTACTAGGACTCTGACCACAAGAAGGAATTCAATCAAACTGCACACCTACTTAGAGTTCTTAACTTTTATAAAGAGCTCAACTCAGGAGGAGGGACTTTTCTTAATCTGATGAAAAAAGATATTTATACAACAAAGCAAAAATAGGATTTTGTATCACATAGTCATGTATCTAAAACTTCCTTTAAGACAGCAGAAGTGGGACACTTCATTTTGACCTTGAATCATAAATCTGAGTAAATTAACAAGTTTAGATTAAAAAGAAATTTTTCAGGGCTAGAGAGTGCAGCAAGTAGAGTGCTTGCATTGAGTGTGGCCACCTAGGTTCAATTCCTGGCAATCTGTGTAAATCCCCAATTCCTTCCAGGAATGATCACTGAGAGCAGAGCAAAGAAAAAAAGAGAAAAGATTACTATCAAAGTTAACAAGGAATTTAAGTAATCTTACTGATTATCATCACTAAAATTATTCAACTGTATTTCTATAGTCCAGCATCAAGTAACTAAAAATAATAATATATTATCAGTTGAAAACATGAAAAAATCAACAACAACCAGCTACTGTGGTACTATTAAGAGAAATTAAAGAAAATCTGAATGAATCAAGGCACATACCAGATTTTTGACTCAAAGACTGTGAATTTTTAGTTCAATTCAAATTGATCAGGATCACTCAAATTCCACTGAGTTGCAAAGAATCTTTTTTATAAAATTGACAAACTAATTCTAAAATCTGTGTAGCCGTACTAATGCCCAAAAATGGGGGATCAGGGGAAGTTTACAGTGGTTAAAGCTATTTACATATATGCAGCCCAAATCCTGGTGCCTTTCGAAGCACCACATACGGTCCCTCAAGAAAAGCCAGGAATAATTCCTGAGCAGAGAGCCTGGAGTTCAGTGGCCAAAAATCAAAAAAGCAGAACAAAATAAAAAGTTCTGAGAATGAAAAATGGCTAACCGAATGTTGGAAAAGAACAAAAATACTGGGATCCTTTTTTTTTTGGCTGCTTTATACATATAAATACATATATTCAAGTACATATAAACTTGAATCACTGTGAGATCCTTACAAAGCTTTCATGATTGAATTTCATTCATACAATGATTAAACACCTGTGCCTCCACATTTTCCACCACCAATGTCCCAAGTATCTCTCCAGCCATCCCCACCCCATCCAATCCCCTTTCTCTATGGCAGACAATTTCCTTCTTATTCTCTCTTACTTTGGGGCATGATAACTTGCAATATAAATACTGAGAGGCTATCACATTTGGTCCTTTATCTACGTTCAGCACACATCTCCCATCCCGAGCAATCCCTCCAACCATCACTGACTTAGTGATCCCTTCTCTATCCCAGCTGCCTTCTCCCCCAGCTCATGAAGCAGGCTTCCAAACATGGATCAATGTTCCTGGCCCTTGTGTCTACTGTCCTTGGGTGTTAGTCTGATATTATGTTACTTTATATTCCACAAATGAGTGCAATCATTCTATGTCTGTCCCTCTCTTGCAATACCAGTGCAGCTAGCAGCCGACTTTGAGCAAACAATGAGTAGAGATTGGAAGTGAGCAGGCGAGACTTTGGAGGTGCTGACAATGTTTTATTCCTCAATCTGTTGTTGAGTAATATGTTCACTTTATAATTTATATGTTCACTTTATAATTTGTAGACAATTAAAAAGTTATTTTAAAATAATACGTGGGGTCAGAACAATAGCACAGTGGGGGAGGGTGTTGGCCTTGCTCTTGCCTGACCCCAGTTTGATCCCTGGCACCCCATATGGTCATCCACACCCGACAGGAGTGATCCTTGAGTGCAGAGCCTGGAGTAAGTCCTGAGCACCCTGGGTGTGGCACAAGACTCAAGTAAGTAAGTAAGTAAGTAAATAAATAAATAAATACATAAGAAATAATATATGTATAGCTTTGGGGTCTGAAATCCTAGTTTCAAATCCCAACTCTGTCATTTCCTAGCTGTGTGACAATTCACTTAACTTTTCTGAATCTGTTTTCTCCTCTCGGACTAGAGCCTAGAAATCATACCTTCTTCACAGTGTATTATGCTCATTCACTAAAATAAAGTACTAGTA